ATTTTTATATTTATTTGTTCAAAAATGAAATGAATTTTCGAAAGTAAATTTAATTTTGATTTTATTTATTCTTATGTGAAACCTAATTGGCAATGTCTGAAAATTTGTTTTCTTTTCTTTTATTGAGTTTGTTTATTTTTAATAAAACTTGAAACAAATGGTAATAAATGAAGTTTTAATCTTTAAATTAACTTATTAATAAAATTATCATTTATCATTAACTTATTATAACTTATTAATAAAGAGATATTCCTTCTCAAAGAAACAAATGGAATATCCAGACTGATCTTTCACAGTAGGATTAATTATTGTTTAAAATAAGTGGCTAATTTACCATATCTTGTCAGTTAGGCTTATTCTGCAGACTTAAAAATGGATCAAAAATGTCAGCAAACCATCTGAAAATTGATGCGAAAATTGGATGGTTAGTATTAACCAAGTTTTTTGGTGATTTGATGATTGAAAGTTATTTCTGCGAGGTTCATTTTTGAGCTGAGCTGAACTATGTTGTTTTTACGTTTTAACTTTTCAGCAACCATTCTTCTACACTGCGCACTCAAATTTTAATTAACATTATAATTTATAATAAATATTAATTTAAAATAGATATTACAATTGAAAAAATGAACCATTTTGATTAATTTCTTAAAATTATTTTCTAAAATCAAAAAATTGTGTATAATATTGACGTTTTGTTTTTTTTCAATTTTTTTATTCAAAAGGAATTATAATTGAAAAAAATTTTAATTAAAATGTGTGGGAAAATTTCTTTTTTTTTCTCGTTTTATTTGAATTCAAATTTCATTGATTTTCTTAACAAAATTCAAGCTTTATCAGTGAGAATCATTCAGATCATTCAGATATTGATGAAACCTTATATGAAAATGAAATAAGAAATTTAGTGAAATTAAGCGAAATCTTTGAAATGATGTTCGAGTTGAGGAGAGGCTCAGTGTGCCCCCACCCCTTCACCTCCATCACCCTCCCTTCATCTCCTCTCCTCATCGTGTTCAAATATTGCTATCGTAATGAGTAAAGAAATGAAGATTTGAAAAAATTAAATAATTAAATAAATAGGGGTCTTGAAACGTCACTAGAGAAAATGCTGAAGATCTGGGGTTGCTAATAAATTTCGAAGTTATGAAGAGGCGCCAAAGCAAAAATTTTTTATTAAGACTATTATCAGTTATCAGAAGTACTTAACATTTCTCTTTTGGCTCGTTGCATTGGCTGTTGTAATCAAATTCTTTCTTCACTAAACAGAAATATAAGAAATAAGTTCCCAGTGTCGCAGGGATTTCATTTTTAATTACTTATATCGTAAAACACCTATTGGCATTATTCAGAAAGATACTTACTCGAACATTCTAACTCCAGGTGGGACATCAGATTTATTCTTCTAAGGGCCAAATAATGAAACTGATGACAATGGCGTAAATCGAAGCAAATATTAGTCTGCTAGATCAGATTTGATAAGATAAGATCAGAGCTTTAATAAATATTACCGTAAACAATAAAATTTTAAGTTTATTTTCATAAAAACAATTAGTTGAAATATCTTGGAATTTATTCCATATTTTAATTAATTATTTTACTTATCATAAAAGTAGAAAGAATAATTTTTCGCATTTTCTTACTCAAATAAATAAACAAAAAATTTAAGAAAAAAAGTGAAATATCGAAAAAAGATAATTTATTGGTAGTGTTTAATCATATATTTCGAAAAAAATATCATTTTTTCGGGAAGAAAAAATTTTTTAAAGCGAATGATTTTTTAAATGAATAAATTGGAAATTACCATTTCGCATCGCAAAAATCTAAATTCAAAACGATTTTTGTTAAAATTATTAATTGTCATTTTACATTAATTGATTGAAATGAATGAAAAAATGCTACAACATTCACGGTGAACTTATTTCAATATTTTATATAATAATTATATAAAATAATAATAATTATTTTTTTCATTTTGTGTTGTGTGTTTTCTATTATTCTATTCTTTGTATTAAGCATCATTTATTAATAAAAATATAAGAAAGCAATGAATATTAAATGATCTTGCGGAAGAAGCATCAGTCCACCAATATTTTCCTCATTCATCCATAATTACACGAATATATTTTTGAGATCGAAGCCATTGATGAAACTAGGCAAAACTATTAAAAACTTGTGATGATGCTTCTCGAAAAAACTGAATATAAATGGAAAATTAGAAGTCGTGAGATTAAAATATGAAATTGAAAATTAAACTCTAAGTTTACGAAATACTGAATGAAAAAAATGTGATATTCACTCAGTTATCCGCCATCATTTGTCTCGCCATCAACTAATTAAAATTCAGTTTCAGTTTTGCTTTTTCATACCTAACTTATTGCTAAAAATTAGAAAGTTTTTCACAATAATTTCAATGTTTGTAAAGATTTTCAAGGAAAGATTTCAATTTTTTCAATTTTTTAAAATAAATTTTAAATTTGTTTCCGTTTGAATATGAAAATGGAAATTTTTAAATTAAAATATTCCAAATTTTAATTTTATGAAATTTGGTCAAAATTTTAAAATTTCAAATTTTTTTATGATGCAATTTCTATATGCTTTCTGGCAAAAGAAATTTGTCGAAGAAACAAGGATCGATTAATATCTATTAATCCCGGTTGATTGCCTTTAGCAGCTTGCAGGGGTCGACATAATCTTTTCTTTTTCTTCTTATATATTTCGTTGATAATTTTGATAATTCACCTTCCTTATTACCTTCAAATGCTTCAAAATATTTCGAATCAATATTTATACTATTATTAATTAATATATATTTTTACTGGTAAGTGATGAAAGTGACAGCTATCAAAAAATCTACCAGTTCATTCCTATTTTTTAAATAATTTGCATGTTTTTTTTTCGACATCTTGTTTAAACTTATTATACTTCTTCGTGCTTATTTATGATTTATTAGCAATTTTTAGATAAATTTATTATTTTCAGTTATTATTATTGTCAATTATTTGTTATAACAAATTATATTTATTAAAGAAATGAAAAGTTAAGTTATTTTTTATGCATATTTTATATTTTTATTTATTGAAAATCAACCAAGTAGGGCGATAAACTCCATGTGCTTGTATTAATAACAACAATTAAAATAACAAGTAATAATTAATGATAAAAAAGAAAAAGAAAATATGAAAAAAATTAACAATTTAATGAGGAAATAAAGAGGAAATTACAAAATAGTATAATATAGTACAGTTATAGTATAGAAATAGCTGTGAGGATCTTTGAGGATTTATTTACCATCGTTCTACAGCGAAGGTCGAAATTGAGATTTTCATCCATGATTATTCCAAGATTGGAAATATGTAAGGCTCCTCTGATTATATTACCCCTAATAAAAAGATTAGAAAGATCGATTCCTTTATAATTTATATGAAGAACACTACATTTTTGAAAAGAAAGAGTAATCCGTTTGTCATATAGCCATTTGGCTATTCTGTTGAGGTCCTCCTGCAGTGGAGATAGGTTAGAGAATAATAAATTTTATAATTATCAGAATTAAGATAAATGGTAGAACTTAGCACCACTTTGGTGATATCATTTACATATAATAGAAAAAGCAATAGCGCAATACAACCACCTTGGGGAACGCCAGATTTAACAGGTCCCATGTCAGAAAGAGAGTTGTTGACACATATAGCATGGTGGCGGTTTTTAATATAATCTAACACCTAGTTACAAGGTTCCATATAATACCATAACTATTAACAAGTTACTACTTCAACAACTTACTATGGGAAAGTATCAAAAGTTTTAACTAAATCTAGGTCACCACTTAATTTATATAAAAGGATTTATACAAATTGAGCAATTCAGTGAATGATTTATTTTATCTTTTCTATTTTATCTCTTTCTCTATAAAAAACATGAATTGATGTATCGAATAGAATTTGTTCGATGTATTTGATGTTAGTAAATGAAAAACGAAGAGTTGTTTTTAAATAAGGGTTTATATATATTTTTAAATAAAAATGTACATGAATTTCTTTTCAAAAAAATTTTGTTCTATGAAAAATTTTATGATTCTCTAATAATTAATTTTTATGGTTGTTTGAAAAGCTTTTATCACACAAAGGATATACAAATTTTTTCTTTTATTTTTTCTTTTTCAGAGGATTTAAGCAATAATTAATGGATTAAAAAATTTGATTTTATAGATTTTTGAGTTTGGAAACGCTTTACCCTTCTAACCAGTGGAACGAGCTTAACCAATAATGGTGAGAGCAGAAGAGCTGTTAGAAGAGGAAGATTTTTGAGGGTTTGTATTGTAGCGAAGGTGAAAATCTGGGATAAGCTAAAAAAATTGACTATAGTTTTTATAAAAACTTTTAATTTTAAATGGATTTTTAAGAATTAATTAATTGTAAATACATTAGAAAAGACAGAAAATAGGATAAATTATTTTATTTTGTGCGATAGAAAATTTTATGAAAATTTTATTTACATTATATTCAGACAGCCCAGCATTTACAATTATTATCACGAAACGAGGCAATTTGCCTGTCCTTAAACGTCAACTCCTTAAAGTAATTTTGCATAGGAAAGCTGAATTGTATGTTGCTTCGATTAAAGTCAGGTCTGATTCTCGTTCCTTGACGAGAGTAAACTTACCATTGAAAGTGGAGCATGAGTGGCGCTGGGGATCCATATTTCTTCTATCTCCAAGTCATTCTATGACGAAAGCTTCTTATGTTAATAGCCAGTGGATTTTCAAAATCTGTAGAATGATCTAAATGTATCTCTTTTCTATCGGAAGCATTAAATGATTTTTGAATTAGAATAGCCGTTAATTAGCATTCGTTTTACTATATCCGTTATATTGATTAATCTCTTAATCATAATCTTATCTCTCTTTTATCAATACCTTAAAAATTTTTAAAAGAGTAAAGAGAAGGACGAGGGGAGACAGGGAAAGTGGGTTAGAAAGAGACGAAATGCAAATAATCCTAAATAATATGTCGGCGACTGCAGCGAGAATTGGACTTAGGATCAATACAAATAAAACGAAAATCCTTTCGTTTTATACAGAAGAACTTGGTAAATTACCTATTTCTGTCAAATGATTGGCGGTTGTAGAAATGCCCGATTTTAAATACCTTGGGTCCACTCTAATACCAAATGTTCAGGCAAAAGACGATATTAAAACCCGGACCACTGCAGTTAAAAATACGTTCTTCCGGTTTACGAAATTTTATGGAGCCATCGTGAAATTACCATCAAAACGAAGGTCCGCATCTATATAGCCGTGATTCGATCTTGCTATATGGCTCTGAGACATGGCCAATGGGAATGGAGGATATTAAAAAGATATTAAGGATATTAACGATATCTGCCCTTAACCACTCTTGTCTAAGGTACGGATATTTTACGGATCTGTCCAAATATCACATGATCGCATCCATCTTCGTTCAAATACCACTTGCGTTAATAATGTTATCACAGTGCAACGCCTTCGCTGGTTCAGCCATGTTCTCCTTCGACCACCACAGGAGTTAACACATATTTCGTTACTTGCTAAACCATGTGATGCGTAGCGAGATGGACCAATCAAAACCTGAATTGATCCAGTCAGGAAAGATTTTGAACGTATAGATGGACCAGCAATATATGAACTTAGATGATGGAAAAAAGAATGTCTTCTATTACTGTCGACGATGGCATTAGACCGCGCAGCTTGGAAGCGTCTTATCCTTGTAGCCTAGTTGGAATCTAACCAGTATTGGTGAGAGCTGTTAAGAAGAGCAAAAAGGTTAGAAAAGATTTTGGAGAGGGAGATCGAGAGAAGGGGAAAGGGAGAGAAAGAAAGAGAAATTAAACTTAAAATAAATTATTGAATAAAATTCAAACATTTTTATCGTTCTACTTTCTATAAAACAGATTTTTTAGTTATAATGTATATTATATGCATTATATATATTATGTACTTTACATTTTATATTTTATTTTATATTTTACATTAAGATTTTATGATTTTAATATTTTAATATTTCTTTTATTTTTTATTTATTTTTTAAACAAATTTTTTGTTTTTTTAGCAAATATATATAAATATAGCGCTACCCATTTCTTGTTATACTGATTCCACTAGCTGTTATATGGCTAGAAATATTTGCCGGCGAGCCACTTGGCGATAGATGGGCCGCCAGCATCATGCAAATTATTAATCATTGGATCAGAACTATTACCTCTGAATTATATAACGAAAATTAATATTTCTTCATAATTTCAGATGAATTTCATTCGTACGTTGTTGTAAAATTGCAAAATGTTAAATCAACAACGATCGCTGTAAAAGGAAATCAACCGTGTTGGGAACAAGAATTTATTTTGTATGTTATCATATTAGTTAAAATAAATGAATTATTTTTAATTTTTTTAGTAATTTTAGATGAAAAACGGTCGTTTTATTTATTGATAATTTTTAATTATTTATTTTTTTCTATTTTTTTGTTTCTTTTCTTATTTATTTTATTAATTAATTGTTAATTTTTTTTTATTTTAATTATATATTCTCTCTGAGGGATAAGATAGCCGCGTGGTTAAGATCGGCCATTTACTCTATTGTCTCTGTGAAATATCACCTTTTTTTTTCTTAATTTTTAAAATATTTTTAGTGAAACGAACCGGATCGATAATGGAATGCTAGTTGAATTATGGAATAAAGGAGTATTATGGGATAAATTATTAGGTTTGCCAAGTTTTCATTCCATAAGATTTTGAGATTAAATTTGGTAGAAAATTTGGTAAAAATCTCAGTTTCGCCAGGGAGGTGTAGAAAAACTTCAAGCAAGTATTGAGGAACTATAAAGAAGTTAAAAAAAAATATGAAGAGCGTATGGAATAGAATAGCTCACTGGGTTGCTGTTTTCATTTCATTTCAGACGCCGATGTTGATGCTGTTCTTCTGGCAGGAATAAATCTATCTTCTAGAAATCTGAGCAGTGCTAGCGACTTATCTTTATTTCTGTCGCTAGTTGCTTTCTGGAAAAATTTGTCTCCGACAAGCTAGGGGAGCGGTCTTAACTAAAAATGATGAGTGCTTTCAGAAAAAAAAAATTAATATTCGTTTAATTGATGAATTAATAAAGAGATATCGCTTGAATTTCAGGCGTTCATTATATGCCGTTAACATCAGTCCAGTATAGTAATTCACATGGAAATGGTAAATGGTTACAAATCGATCAAGAAGTTGAAACAAGGAATGGTCGAACTGTTGGTACTAGCCATCCAACTGGTCATTCTCTGTTAGCTGATGTACATTTTGAATTGCCTTATGGTTGGTTTCTTAATTACTTTTCCTTCGATCTTATCAAAACAAGAATTGACGCAATTCGATTAATTAATTATTGCTTATTCAGATATATTCTAAAATTTTTTTCAATGTTATATGTGTAATTATAGTTGTTATATATGGTTTTTTATTTTTTCATTAATCTATGAAATGAGTAAATCTATTTTCATGAGTTTTTATAGAATTTGCATGAGTTGGTGATTACCTAGGTATTTCATGAATTTTTTTACTTCAGAAGCACAAGGCTTAGATGCTGAAGAACTTCAAGCAAAATTGCAAGCACTGAATCATCTTATCGAAATTGGTGTATGTGTTCTTCTCTTTGTTTTTTTTAAAGTATAAACACAACTTTTTATAGCTCACTAATTAGTTTTCGTTATTTATCATCATCATTGTATAATTTTCACCCCTTGATTGTTTAATTTCTTTTATCCACTCATTTTATCAAAAATTTCAGGATCAGTTACCTCATTTTAGAGCACCTCTTACCCATTGTAAGTTACAATTATTTTTAATTATTTTTTTATAATTTTTAACAAATATTCTTTGTTTGATCGATTGTGCATGAGGAAGTGGAATGATTTTCCAATCTTTTTACCTCTTTATCAGTGGATGGATGATTTACTTAGCCGTTGAATCTCGATAATTTCATTATTTTAAATTTCTTATCACATTTAATTTTTCTTTGATGAAAATTTGATAAAAATCACTTTAGCTTTTCTTTCATTCGCAAATTTGATAAATTTTTTTTGTGTTTTCTACAAAATTTGTTTGTATCTTTAACTATATTTTTTGCGATCCGAAAATTTTTTTGATTAAAATTTATAATTTTATAAAATTGCGAACTTTTTTTATAAGTTTTTCCAGGTTTTTTTTCTGAAATCTAATTTATATAAGAAAATTCATTTTAAAGATTCTTTCCATTAAAAAACCATTCGACTATCCTACCTCCATATTTTTTCATTTAAATAAATAAACTATTAACTTAAATAAACTATTAATTGATAATAAAGGAGAAATTGCTTTTTTCCTTTTAATCTTCGACATTTTTGAAAAGAAATGAAAGTATAATAAATAAAATTATATTTTAGAAAATTCTGAATTTTAACTGTTTTTCTTATGACGGATGAAATTCAAATTATGTGTCAAATTTTTAATTTATCTTGAAACTTTTTAAAGTTTTAAAACTTTTTTTTTGAGGTGAAATTGGTCCTTTTAGTAAAATTTTCCTTAAATATACAAGTATAAAAATTCCATTTTATATATATATATATAGCATTAGCATTAGCCATTTCTGGTTAGCTCGCTTCGCTAACTGTTAAGTTAGAAATTTTTATAGTTGGTCATATATTCTATTTTATATTTAAAATGCAAAATTAATAAAAATGATATTTATGTGTGAAATTCGGTTTAAGTTTTCCTCTTTTAAAGAAACCCAAAAGGAAAAGGAATTAAAATTTAAGGAATAAAAGAGGAAACAGGGAATTTAAGGGATAAAAGCGTTAAATATTAATTTTTTTTTTGATTTTTTATTTTGGATTGGACGTACAACCGATACATAAAATGTGTATTAATTCATTAAATTTGACAAATTATTTCACATCGGAATGTCTTAAATAATCTGGAAAAATGAGAAGGCAAGTGATTGGGATTGTATTTGAATTTTGATATTAAAAATTACAAGTTTATCCTTTTTCCAGCTGAAATTTTTTTTAAAATCCTTTTTTTAAACTTTTCTAAGGGAAAATCTTTGCTTGCTTAGGTAAATAGGAAAAAATAAGTGGTCAGTGCTCTCCATTTCTGGTTAAACCATCTGCCGTGTTAGTCGAACGACTGAAAACGATAATCAGAGCTGCTAACGATTCAGCTATCATGTCGCCATAGATAGTTTATAATAAGGTTTTGGGAGGAAATAGGGAAGGCTATAAAATCTTTAAACGTACTTTCCACTTTACTTATTTTGCTCATTTTACTTTTTTCTTTCGAAATTATTAGTTTTCTTTTATCAAAAATATATTCATTAATTTTATAGCGGGCATATCAGAAGATTCTGATTATACGTCAGACGTGTCGTTTCCAATTCATCATCAACCAAATAATTCAGTACATCAGTGGGATAGTCATGTGCATCCACATCGAAATTCGAGACAACTTGATCGGCAAATACAACTAACTGAATCGGTATGGAATTTCCGCCTATGGAATTTTGGAAAGCCGATTACCTCATAGCTACCTCATAGCTTAGTAATTCTGAAATGATTGCCTTTTTATTTTGTTGTGAGTAGGTAAGGATTAAATTTATTTTATTAGGCAATTAGGATTGTTGAATATCAAAATTATTTATACTCCTGTTATTATACTCCTTTTCCTGTTAATTCTTTTTGTGCTGTCGAGCTCCTGAAGCTTATAAAGTTACGATAAGAAAATATAGGAAAAAATAGCAAAATGTCCGAAGAATGGATATTTTTAAGGTAAATTGTGATTATCTACAACCGTTTGATGAAGAAAGCGATGCAACACAACATGCTTCTGAAGAACCAATTATTTACAGTAGGTTATTCATTATTTCATAGGTTTTTCTTATTTACCATTTCGTCCAAAAATATGCATATCTGATTTGGCTGGCTATATTGACTTGACTGTTGGGAAAATTCCTCTCGCCAGAATAGGATTACTTGGAGGATAGAAATTCTAAAAATCCTCAGCAACCCACTCCAATTTCAGCTTTAAGGATAGGTGTCCAAAGGAATCATATTTAGAAAGTCGAAGAAATATATTCTTATGTAGTGGCCATCTACTGAAACCTAAATTTAACGAATTATTGAAGTGCTTGGAATTTAAAAATGTGGAAAAATTTTTTTAAGGAGAATATTATGGTAATGACTGTCGTACAGAGACAACAAATTCCTCTCGGAATAATGCTATTTATTCCTTTAATCACAATGATCACGATGACGAATTTGATCATAATATTTACGAAACCGATGCTTACAATAATTATGACCAAATAAATCATGATGCACGATCACCAAGGCATAATAATTATAATAAATCTTTCAAACTTTAAATATTTTTAAATTTTTACTAAAGAAAAAATCTGCCTGAAAGAATGATGTAAGATTAATGTAGTTTTAAAAAAGCCAACTTACAGAATTACTGATAACTAGTAAGAACATCTGTTTATTATTATGGTTGAATAGATCTGTCTTCAAATCCTGACGTATTTCCTTGATATCTCTTAATATCTCGTTTTATTCCCTTAACATTCAAAGTGCGCTTTTGCATGGGTTTTTTTTCGGGAACACCACGCTTGTATTGACAAATTATAAATTTTTTTTTTGGAATATTTTCATAAATATTTATAACAAAATATTTAAATATTTTTAGTTATGATGATGAATATTATCAGCAGCAAGATTACGGTGATTATTATCCAAATATTTCACACTATGAACATTATCAGCATTATAATGAAAATACCTATGATAATGATTACATTGGAAGGTTTTTTTATTTTAAACTCTTTAATTTTTTTATGCCAATTATTATTAATAATATTAGAGTATTGTATAGTATTAGGATATAAATATTGCGTTTGAATAAATGAAAATTTTTCTATCCAGAAAATCATGGAAAAAATCTTTCAATTCCGACTGGAATGAAGAACAAGAACCTCTTTCATACAATAGTCGTCCACGAAATATGCAAAATGCGATTTCATCTTTATCCAGGTTTTTGCGATATTCCTTACTTTTTCTTATCCATTCCGTTAGTAGTTATTTTTATTCGAGTGTTAAAATAAGAAATTAATAAAGAGAGCCAAAGTACTTTTTAAAATTCATATTTAATATTGAATATTTTTATTTATATTAATTTTATATAATTATATAATTATTTATATTATATAATATTATATAATTTTTATTAATATATTTATTTAATATTTATTTGATATTTAAAAACGTTTATTAAAAAGTGAATGAATGAAGAGTCAGCTTTTAAAAATTTAAAAAAAAGTTTCGAGATGATATTTCGCATAGATTTTTGATAACCATAGAAATATCTGTCAGCCAATTATTGGAGCTAATTGGGAATTTTAATTATTTGGAAAAATTTCTAGGAATATCTATTCATCGCGAGGAATGAATCATTATGATATGCCTGCGTCAGAATCGGAAACATATAGTCAAGTCGATGGACGAGGAGAATCAGATAATTATGAAAAAGAGGGGTCGGATGAAACAAGATTTACCCCCCATATCGGCGAAGACGATGGTGATGATGGTCAAAGATATACTTTCAACAATAATCAACAAAATATTAGCAAATATTCATCTAGTCGACAGAGCACTATTCAAGATAATTTAGCAGATGATATTTTTTCTGTTGATAATCCTGATTATATCTTTAACGACAAAAATATTAATAATAATTGTGATGATGTAAGCTATTCTAAGGTTAATTTGGAAATTAGTAAAGCAACAGTGCAAATTGCCTCAAATGAATTTGAAGACGAACAAATTCATAGGTTAAAATTATTCAAATAATTTTTGTAGTTTTAATATTTTACATTACAATATAATATATAATATAATATAAAAGTTTTAACGATTTTATATTTTAAGATATAAAATTTTAGTTTTAAAATTAAGTGAAAGTATGATTCTTATAAGGGATAAATAATTGATTAGCGCCCACCATTTCTGCTTAGGTTAGTTCCTCAATCTACTAGTATGCTAGAAATTTTTGCCAAAGAATCATTTGCATACAGAAATATAGGTGTGTAGCCAGCACCAGCTGGATTTTTTAATAGCAACGCAACTTTATTATTGTCGAAGGCAAGAGTTCGAACCCTGCACATCCCTGCACATTACTTGTCTGCTCTGCTAAATCCTAAAATAAATTGAAGTAATACTTCATATATTGGTTCATTTAAATTCTAGCCAACAGGATTTGTTCGGTTCCTGTTCATTAGTGGAATTAAGCGGGCTTGACGGAATATCAAAAGTAAAATTGAGATGATGTCGTGGAAGCCCCTGTATCCAAACTAACTCAATCCCTCATTTTTAAAAATTATTCGAGCCAGGCAAATCAAAATGTTGAGTGTCGATGATTATGATATTTTAAGCTAACTCATTTATGTAAATTCAAATTTATGAAAATTTCAGTAATAAAAATGATAATGTAGTGCCTGTTCAAACGGATAAGAAGGATTATCGTGAAATGTGGCGTTGGGCTTATCGAGAAACTTGTAAACGGTTAGGAATAAAGGTTAGCTTTTTTTCGCAGGTCTAACATTAGTATGAGTGGATGTGGCCATTCATCTCAGAATAAATTTGTTAGCAGATTAATGTGGCATACTATCAGAATCATCTCTCACATCAGGAACTTTTATCGTAATAATACCAGAGTGTTAAAACATTTTAATGTATTAGTCAACTTTTTTCTGGTAAAATATATTCGAAAACTTTTCTGGTAAAATATATGCATAAATGTGGAACTGGCGAAATTTGGATTGTGGTGAGTGGTAATCAATTTTGGGGAATCCTTGCAGAAGGGTTTTATGGAATCAAAGTGCATTTGCACATGGATTAGAAGTACTTTGGCCGAAGAAACGATTTGAACTCAATCTTCACGCCATTTTCAACAGTAAACCCTCAAATTAAGGCAATCACTCGTAACCAAGGCAGATACTTTATTTCTTAATTTTTTGTAAGTTAATGATAATTCCAATAATGAAAGTATTTAATAATAATTTTGCTAATAATAATATAATTTAATAATATAACAATTATTTACAATCTTTAATTAAATGTAATCGTAGTTATTTTGTAGTTTTATAATTTCTGATTTTTAAAGTTATAAATCGTTATCCATTATGCTTATTCTTTTGTACATCTAACGATGGTCGCTATTCTATTACATTTTAGGTTTAGAGGCATTATTTGCCTTTGGCATCTGCAAAAATTACTTTTCTAATAAAATCTGGTGAGAAACAGTGGCTGGAAGTGCGATTTTTGGCAATAACAAGGAAGTAAAGCACCACTTTCTCTTAATGGTGGCATTTTTCTCGTCCTACGTAGTTATTTGCCAGATTTATGCGAAATGAAAAGTTAAATTGGCTCGTTAAGAATAAAATTTTTTTCTCAAAAGCAATTTGGATATTTACTTAGTCGATTTGTTGTTGTTGTTGGTTTCATTGTTAATTTGTCATTGATGAAATTCAGTTTGCCTCCTTAATATTTAACCAAAACCAACTATTTGCAAACCAACTATAGTTTTTTTGGAGAGCAAGGATTTCATTTAGTAATTTAGATTAAACTGGAAAAGGTCCAATATTCTTTAAGGAAATTTTTTCAATTTCTGAACCAAAAATTCATAGCTTTTATTATTTATTTATGATTTAGCTTTATTGGAAATTGGAAACATGGCAAGCGAATAAGATAATTAAGCAATCATTTCAGTTCAAATTTGTTCCAGTGGCTAAGGGTGAAAATTTTTCGCCAGAGAGTCATATAGGAGTATTAGGTCTGTTACTTGGCTTCTTTTAGGAAGTTTTCTACGTGCAGAATCATAATACTTGGAAATAATAATCTAACATAAAAGCAACCATTCTGAATCTGAATCTCATTGAAATCTGATTATAGTAATCTTGAAATCTTCTGATAAAAGGTTATTGCAGTTACTAGAATTTTTATGGATGAAGCTTGTTAATCTGTTAAATATTCAATTCGTGGTGCTTTTTTTCTTGGCTCATTATTATCAAAAATTGAAGAAAAGCAGGAACTTCAAAATCGATTAAATTTAATAGCAAATCTATCTATGTGCATACATTCATTTTGATGTATTTAAGTAGAACTCAAGCAAAAAATCCATCGAGAATAATGAAAAAATATTGAAAATCGGCCACCAAAGCATTAAAAAGAATTCGTTTTGAAGTGTTAAATGCTAATCGAATTGATAAAAAAAATTAAATCTCAATTTATTTAAGTGAATAAATGAAATCATCGAAATTTTCATAAATTTTTAGATTTTTTTTAAGGAAAATATTTTATTAATTTTCAAAATTTATAATTTCTCTCCAAGGCTCTATAAATTTTATTTGCTTAATTTATGTTTCAGTTGATAACAAAAATTTTCTTAAAAATTTATATTATAAAAGTTCATCATTCTAGTGGCTTTGGATTAAAGGTCAAGACAGAATAACTTCGCTCCTAAATTCGCTTGTGTTGCAGCCACAGTTCTCTTCACTGATTCGAAATTATTAAAATGGCAATTATTTATTTGTCATAAATTTCTTTAAAACAAATATTAATACTAAAAAAAGAATGTTTTAATATTTTGGATTTTTTCCTTGCTGCGTGAGCTTATTTTCACGCTTAATAATTAATATTTTTTGCTCTTAATAATAAATATTATTTAATCCATAAATAATAGGCGCTTAATTTTGCTAAATCTTCAAAAATCCTAGGATCGATAAATAGTTAGTAACTAAAGCAATCGTTAGCAATAAAAGTAATAGCTGCGACAACAAATTAGTCGCATTTTTTTTCCTTTTTCTTTTTCCTCTAATTATAATGAGTTCGAGAAAATTCGCCAAAATATTTCAATTTAGTTTACTTATAATTTTAATTAAAATTTTTTCACATCGTGATAGTCTTTATTATTATCATTATAAGTACTATCATTATTTTTTATCGATCATTTAACAGACATTATTTAGATGTAATACTAAATTGTTCTATCGCTTTTTCATCCATTCATTCTTTAATAGCACTCACCATTTCTGATTTAGTTGGCTCTACTGGCTATTAGGATGAGTTTTCTGGTTTGATTGGCTCTATCGGCCTGTAGGATCAGATCTTAAACCAGAATCATCTCTGGATAGAAAAGATCACTTGTTTGTTATTTATCTATCTAGATCAAAAAAATATCTGCATACAAGGGAAGAGGAGATGGCGAAAGGAGAAAAAGAATATTTGATGATCGATGAACCATTATGGATTAAGGAAAATTTAACAAAAACTATTTTCTCTTTAAACGAGTTTTAGCGTAATAGCGGCATCATAATAGTCTCTATTGTTTTTCGTGTGAAAAATTCCACCACTTTTTATTTGAGGAGTTTTTTTTGACTTTAAAAACTTTCGATTTTCCATCAGTTTTAGTTCACTCCTGGGATTTAAGAGAAATGAGGAGATTCTCTTTTTTTTCCTAGGCTTGTTTCTTTTTTTGGGCTTGTCCCTTTTTTTCTCGAATTTTATGTTCTGTTCAATTTTTTACAGGATATCGGCAAATCTAGCAAATTTTTTAATATTCCAGCGACATCAGATGATTTTTATAGCGCGACATTTGATTTCGATATATACATATATATTTTAAAACGAACGGGAAAAAATGAGAAAAATGTAAAACTGATAAAAAATAATCAAAGTGATAAGAAAAGCGTTTTTAAATCCTGTGTTTTTAAATCGATTTATTAGTTATATTAGGTAAGATAGAAATGTTGCCAAACTTGTCGAGTATAGTATGGTGATTCGGTCATGTTGCGTCTCGCACAATTATCATTATCATTAATTATCATTAAACAATCCGTGTAAGTGTAACCAACATGCACTTTTCTATTTGGCTGGCTTTTCAGCAAAATTGTCCTATCAATAGGCAGTGCATGGAGTTTAACCGTCAGAAATCGCTAACCACTTACCACTTACTTACATCACGACCATTACTTTTGCTTTGCATTTCACTGGTATTTGATCCCTGTCATATTCACCTCTAGATTTGCTCTTTCTAGTTTTTTTAATGGATTTTAGAATCCAAAATGGAATAAAAATTCGTCGTATGAAAAAGTGGTTGGAAAAAAATTAAATAATATATTATTGCAGTAATTAATTGTGCGATGGAACGGCTGAGTAATCACATTTGCTCTCATTTCGTAGCTGCAATGCTGGCATTTTACTTCTCGAAAATACTTGTGGTGCTCACCACTCATCTGTATATATATATGTTCGAGAAGAATGTGGAAAATATATTATAATTTTGAAAAACAAGTAAAAAATAAATAAAAAGGAAAAAAATTGACAAGGAAACAGATTTATTTTTTACAAACCATTAATATTAGATAACTGAAGCAAAATAACAAAGTATATGGAACAGTGATAAGCTAAAGAATTTTTTGAACTATTTTGACGATTTTTTCGATAAACATCGGTTCGAGAAGTCTATTCGAAGCTAAACCGTTGCCATTTTCTTTTATATTGGCTAGATGTGAGTTTCAACCCATTTGTTAGAATTTGTACGTTAGAATTCAAGAACATTCCGACATCTTTGTCATCAAGACCATGTAAGATTTTATAGGTATTTGGTAATACAACCTTAAGTCGGTCTAGCCACCGTTTGAAGCTTTATCACCTTTAGTCTCTATTTTTTTATAAGGCAATCGATAAGAAATCCAACGGGTAAAGAATTTCTAAAATAACTTTCCGATGATTTGTGAATGCTTTGTTCCTGAGGCTATAGCATGCTAATGCATATTAATATTCTATTATAGGCGTAACAAAGGCTTTCTATGGTTAAACTATAAAAGAATTATAATTATGACAGATTTAAAACGAAAAATGAACATTTTATTATAGTGGGCCATTTAGCATTCAACTAACCATTGACTTCGGAATAAAGGTTATGAATGTGAATTCTTAGATCTGAAATGTATATTTCTATTCTTCTATAATACTTCTATAAAGATATAAAGATGAAAGGCTTAGGTAGGAGAATTTTCCTTTATTAATATATATCCACTTTGCTTTGTTCTTGATGCTAATGTCATATTTCATTGTAGGTCTAACATAGGTTTTCATAGTAGTTTGTTATCAATGCGAAAGCAATGAATAGGGGTAGAATGGCTAAATGGATTGTTGCTAATTCGAATTCGCCGATGCTGAGATTCTATTCCCCGCGGGAGTAAACTTATCCAAATATTCGAGTGACTCTGGCGACTCACCTGTGTTTCTCTCGCCAAGGGATTCCTGGCATATTTGTCTAATGCAACAAGCCAGCGGAAGAGCGAGTTTAACCAGTAATGGTGAGGACTCGCTTAAAAAAGAGTGATTTCAGAATATTAATTTGTTACATGTGCGAATTCCCAGGTTTCAATTTCGATTCTTTTATGGCGAATTAATTATATATATTTTTTAAGTTTTATAATTGTTTCTATTTTTTTATGAGTTCATTTATATGAGCTGAGGATCTGCTGTAACGCAGTTAGGAAGCCGGACGAATGTCAGCCATGTTCATACTCAAGCAGCATGGTCATGGCTGAGGCTTTTCTTCACTTTCATAAGCATTTATTTGCTTGATTTTTAGTGGCTATTAAAAAAAATAATAAGTATTAAATTTAATATGTATTAAATTTAATACTTATTATTGTTATTTTAATTGATTATTGAGGAGATAAGTGAAGAAAAAAATGAATCTAAAATTTTTTTCGATGGAAATAAATTTGCTGGAAGTCTCTGATTTTGCGAATAAAATAAATCGAATTCAAATTCTACACTGTTTTCGTTCGTAAGACGAATTTATTTAAAACATTAGAAAAGAATCGTTCATGAGTTTTTCTGTTATATTAATTGATGCTATATATTAATTACTGAAATAAACTTGGCATGGATGTGTTAATCATTTTTAAAAGTTAACTAAATATTAAATGTAATAAATAGTAAAATGCGTAGCAATTACAAATTACAAATTACAAATTGTGATTAGGCTCGTTTCACTTGGTGTTGGTAGGTCGAGATAATGAATTTCGCCTTGAATCATTTGGAGATGTGAGAGCGGATGGATCGAGCAGCACTCGGATTTTTTGACCGCAGATTTATTCCTGCCTAAGTCGATGGTCGGAATGTAATCAGAGCAATGCCCACTCAGCTATTCGTCCTTTCAATAAAATAAATTTCATTCTAGAATGTTTTTCCAGACAAATAGAGGCAGGTTTTAGAAAATTTGAATTGTTAACTGTAAGTTGAATTGTCGGAAAAAAGGGCAATATGGAAATTTCACTCATTCCGCTTCTTAGAATTCATTTCATTTTTCCAGTTAATTAATTGCAGTATTATTAATTATAATGAGAAAATTTCCTTAAAATGGTAATTTTTAAATATTTGCAGAGTTACATTTCACATTTTTAATTAATCATTGTATTTTTATAGAATTAAATTAGTACTTAATTTCATTTAAGTATTTTATTTAGGAAAATGCCAATATTTTTCAATAAAATAAAAAATGATTCAGATAGCTTAAGGTACATCCTCTAACCATAATTGGCAACAACTGGCTGAAGTCGAGGTAGAGAAATAAACCGTCTCCTAAGAGAGTTTCCACGTGAATATTGAAGCCAATGGTTTGAATTGAAAAAAGTTACCCAGGAAAAGTCTGGAAGCTGAGCGAATAAGTTCAACATGAACTAGCTCTTTCTAACGACTTCTCTGTTCATCTCTATTTCGCGCCACATTGATGAACTATTTTTGGAAAAATTGTTGACAAACAAAAAAATGATTTGTATATATTAACTACTCTTTTCTCCTTATCAGTAGTCATCTTTACTTGTTCCAGATCAATTTCATTTCATTGGTTCTTATCCAGTGAATGCGTACTACCAATGTTCACGAGTCGACAATCAAGAATTTTGTTTTGGTGGATTTCAGATGATTTGATCCATTATCAATTTCATTTGAATAATTACGTGAACTTCTGAATGCAGTTAGAGGATTGCAGATGCGCTGCTCCAGCTGCACTTGTTCATTGCAAAGACGTTTCGATTATTCAGAACAAAGCAACTTCCGTGACACGCCTAATTTACTTGATAAGCAGTTCCCTTTTTCGTATTCCTCAGGATTTGTGGCATCCTATCTCTTTTTGTCACTAAAAAACTCGGCAATTGCAAGGTGCTTTGGAAAAAAGCCATATTTTTAATTTTTAAAGGTCGCTTGCTCCAGAAAAGTGTTTGCAAATTTTATCTCGTTCAGAAAGGATGACTGTAAGTTACTTTCGCTGGGGCTTATTTTTCTGGGCGAAGATATTTTCATTTCATTTTTTAACTTTTACAAATTTCGAAAGCTGAACGAATTTTTTATCTGATAGCGTATTTTACTCCAAATAAATTTATGATATTTTGATATTAATTTTTTAATGCTAATTCTAATGCTAATTCACACTAATCCTTTTTTTCATTTATTAAATTAATTCACTAAGTTAATAGGAATTTTGGTGGCAAAAAAAGAAATCTTATAAAAAATCATTTGGTAATCATCATCTGGCAAAAATCAAAAATCAGTATAAGTAACAAAGTCTAAAATTCAGAAAATTTAACTCATTTTGCTCCATTAAATTCCTATTTGGCTCTTTTTTGTCTTAGGATTTTTATAAAATTAAGGAAAAAACGAAATTCGCAACCATTGAAGATGATAAGCAAACGCTTAGCGCTCTTGTTAAGGTTTACTCCACTGGCTATCAGTACGGTGAGAAATTTTAACTAAGGATTCATTTGGCGATAGAAACATAGATTGGTCGTCAACATCAACCGGATTTTTGATTTTCACGCTTACTTATTTTACCTTAAACTTTATTTGGGATCTACTTTTTCATTTGTAGTTATACATATTATATATTCGCCAAATATAAATTGTTGGAAATTACCGTAGGTAAACACTTAAACAAATTCTTATTCTTCAAAGATTTAAAGACTGTGGAATGCTAAAAATTTGTTTATTAAATTTGAAGATTCGATTTATTCGTTGAATTTAGTAAATTTCGCTATTTTTAGAAATAATTATTTTAAAATTGTGATTTTAGTAGAAATAGTTACTTCGATTTTATTCATCTCGAAAAGAGTAATAAGTTATTCATATTCATTAATTCTTTTTTTTCTTCGTTTATTTTAATTTTTTATTTTATTTTAGGAAATTATTTACTTTATTTTAGGCTCAGAATTTAATATTTAATACTTCTCGTGAGATAAATGTCCTATGTTCCTCGTGTCTTATGTGCGTTCAGTACGATTGGGTCGTTTTTGGAAGAGACTATTAGCAAATTAATCTGCTAAGTCTGTCCAAATCATTTGCACTTACGAGGCGCGTCTTATGTTTGTCGTTTTTTCCTTTCTTCCTTTCTTTCCTTCCTTCTTTTTTTCCATCTGTATATTTCCCTCCTTAAAGCTGAATTTTTCTGCTATCCAAGTGACAGAAAAGTTTTAACAGTGGTCATTGAGCGATAAGCATATTTTCCAAGATATTTCCTTCATGGGCGACTGATATTCACAAATCAATTGTCACATTTAAATCTATTGCCTTTTTTCCTTCCTTTCTCTTTTTCCCTCTATATGAAACTGTAAGATTAGTTATTAAATTTTTAATTTTATAATAGATTCATGGCCTCACGGTTTTACCAAAAAATGTTGATTTCTGAATAATCGTACATATTATTGTCTCAGATTCGGATTATTGCCTTTTTCTCTTCGTTAACTTTTTCGATTTTACAGAAATATGGCATTGATTGTGGCGTATATTGACAAAATATCGTGAAGAATATTTATTAAAAAGAAGAAAATTTAGATGAAAACGAAAAAGCCGGTAATTATAACCATATCCGATGATCCAGGAAATGCATTGCTTGCATTTTCTTTATCATTCAAGAAAGTACAACGTGTTCGACCAACACGAAAACGTAAAAAACGTGATATAAAGTTGAAAAAACAATTAAAAATACGAAGTTTGCCGAATATCAATGAAGTGAAAGAAGATACACACGATTATTGTGTTCATCAAGTGCTAAATAAGGAAAAAATGACAATGAAGCGATTACGATCAAATTCATTTTGTCCGTCGGCACTTCAGCTTCCTTCATCATCGTTGATTATCAATGACTGTGGTTATTTTATGAAGGATTTTCTAGCATCATATACAAAAAATATAAATTTTAAGGAAAATTGTATTTTTAAAAATAATTTTTCTATTAAAGCTAACAATGAGATGACGGAACAAACAAAAAAAATTCATCGAGAAGAGGTTTGTTTGGTTGTTGTTTTTAGCGATGTATTTCATCATATGGTCCATGGACTTTCTTTGAAAATTGCAGTTAGAAGTTCCAACATAAAATTAAAAATTTCTTAGAATAATCTAAGCATAATTAAATAATTAAATTATTGATCTCAAAGTAGTTTCTTTAAAAAATTGTTTTTGGTCAAAAGAGTTCATCTGGTAATCCGAAAAGTCGCATAGTCCTATTTTTTTGTTTCAAGATTAATTGATTTCTGCTGATTCAAGAGGCATTTTGCCATAAAGCAGGAATGCAAAATGCTCACCGCTTCTGTGATAATCATTTTTTCGTTCAGTTGAACATAAAGAAATTAGCATGAAATATTTTTTCAATTTCTATAACTCTGGTAATTTTAGCGATAAAAGTTCCGATTTCAGAGATTTTATGAAAGTTGGAAATCAACCACTGCTCGCTCTAGTCTTATAGAACAAAACTCATTAAAAGAAGTAAAGAAGTTTATAATGGGTTGAGAAATATTCCAATTTATTCTTTTTTCGAGGTTATAAGAAATAAATATAATCTTTTAGATAAGATTGAAAATGAGTTAGAATGAGTTAAAAATGATAATTAAAATTTCAGCCAACACTGCTCGATGGTGACAGTGTAAATAATGCTACAAGTGCCTTCTATAAAAGTATTGATGCAATGCCAAATATGAATGTCGCCAAAACAAAGAAAACAATACCATTAGTTAGTGAACTGGTTGGTTTTTTCATATTTTCCCCAAAAAAACTTTTTTTGGAATTGAAGTCAATATCGTTTCCCATATCAATCAACTAAAAAATACCTTACATTTGGAAAAAAATCTGAATACGTTCGGAACAAAGAAAGTCGATCTGCCCATGAGGTTTTTTAGTTAGAAAAGAAGTTATTCTGGACTTTTCAAAAAATATGTGGACGTAAACTATTACTTGAGAAAATATTCTGGCGGTCGTAATTTTATCATTAATATGTTTTGAGTCATTTACTAGGAAAAAGGTAAGGAGGACAAAGCTTGTGGCTTCATCTTCGTTTATTCAGCTTTTATTTCTTATCAATATTGCAGGTACTGAAGGTAAGCTATATTCACAATGAATTTTATGGAATTTAGTAGGTTCGATACATTGAGCATGAATGTAGAGCCTTGAATATCATTGCTTAATTAAATTTTTAATTACATTTTTTTTCTAGAAAAGCACCATATTTTATTTTTGGAATGATATTATAGTACCCCTTCAATAGTTTTTTCTCCATTTTTTTATTATTCAAAAAAAGAATCTTCTTTGTACAATCTCAAGCAAATGATCTAAAGAATCCTGGAAATTTGACAAGAAATATTTCGTAAACACTACAAATTCGTCTTTTCCATGAAACTTCGTCAACTTCTGCTCAAATTTGTTTGAGATGTTATAAAGAGATGAATATCTTGCTTACATTAAAAATGAACACATATATATCTATATAATATTATTTCTTAGAAATAATTTTTGTTCACAATCCACGATCAAATTTCGATTAAATTTCGATTTTAGATAAATATTGGCCTTTTAGATTTTTTTTAATAATGAGAGAGGAAACGAAAATTACTTGCTTATGCTTATTATGAAGCAACAAAAGCCTTCTTTTAATGCTTCAATTAATATTGATACTTATACTACATTCCCTGCGAAATCGTCGTTGAAATAATTTGAAATAATTTTTATGCATTATTTAAGGATTGCCTAATTTCTTTTTTATCCCCATGTTATATATTATATCCTCTATATTATACACTATATTATATCCTCACAAACTCATTTTAATCTATATTTTTAAAATATTTAGATTTTTCAAATTGAAATCGTAACAGGAATTGTAATTATTGCGGCCTTATAATAAGTTGAAATACGATTTCATTGTGAAGTTTGATCTTTTAAATAAATTATCTTTAATTTACGAATTTGTTTTATTAAAAAAATAAAGAATTCAGTCTGATTTATCAAAAAATAAAATTAGAAGAAAGTTGAAATTTAGTAACTTTAGTCGATTTACGTCGATAGTTTTTTGAACTTTTAATGTAGATGGTTAGTCGAGTCGAGTTGAGTCAACAGTTTTTCAGTTTTTTTTTCTAGAAAAGCACCATAATTTATTTTTGGAATGATATTATAGTACCCCTTCTATAGTTTTTTCTCCATTTTTTTATTATTCAAAAAAAGAATCTTCTTTGTATAATCTCAAGCAAATGATCTATAAGAATCCTGGAAATTTGACAAGAAATATTTCGTGAACACTACAAATTCGTCTTTTCCATGAAACTTCGTCAACGAAAAGGTAAAAGGCCAGGTTATAAATCACCGAACGCTATTAAATAGTGGACAAGTGTCAGTGAAATAAGGTAATGGTCTGGAATGCAGATACAACTAGCAGGCCACTTCTGAGCTGCTGTCATTGAATTACTACTCATTACAGAAATTATTGTTCTTAAGAAAATGGAAACTCTATTAATAATAATAATTTTAATTAAAAAAGCATTATAAGCATTTGATTATTTATTCGGTTGTGTGGTTTGCATTTCGCTGCTTTGCCCTCTGACCTGGTTGCCTGTTGGCTTTCATTTGATTTTCAACTGTTCAATTTTTTTTGCACACCATATTACATTAACAAGAGGGTTATGATTTCCATTATCTTTAATAATGAATAATGAAGTTGCTAATTTGCTCGAATGCATGTTATTTAAAATATGAGAAAGACTAAGTGACTGATCGATTTTACTGTTATTATATTTACATAATTATTATATTTTATATTAATAATATCTATCAAAAGAGGGTACTTTTTTATTAATTTTGTACCGTAATTTTACTTTTATCAATTTTTTTATTTTTAAGAAAGTCTTGGTCAAAAGCCTGATTCATGTTAATTAAGAAAGTACCCATAGTAAACTTTTCGTTTCCTTTTTTGTTGCTTTAACCCTGAATGCTAGCTACATATGTTTTTTTGAAAATATTGAATTACGAGAGTGATTTTTTAAACAGTTCGTTTTTTTCAGCTGTTGGCTTGGCTTGTTATATTAATTTGATTAATTTATATTAAGATTACAAAATTTTATAAAAAATGAATAGGCGTATGAATTTTTAGACGATGGCAACGAAAAGAGCTCAAGCTGGCTTAGCTAATGCTGCAAAAACTACGTTTGGTGATGAAGAATTGGTAAGGATGGTTTTTTTTTGTTGGCTAAATAACTATATTGTTAAATAAGTGGTTAGTACTCACCATTTCTGATTAGGCTTGCTCTATGTTGGCTACTAATATGGTTAGAAATTTTCTGCGGAAGAATCAGCGATAGAATTACAAGTGAGTCACCAGTACCATTCGGTTTTTTTAAATCTCAAGTTTACTGCTATCTGGAACGGGAGGCGGACCCTTACGTTACTTAATATATTTGTTAGGATTTTAATATTTATTTTTTTCTTCTTCTTATAGCTCTCACCATTACTGGTTAGACTAGCTGATAATACGTTTTCAAGCTGCGCGATCTGGTTTTATCATAGACAGTAATAGAAATTATTCCTTTTTCTATCGTCTATTTTCTATCGTCCATATATTGCTGGTCCACCTATACATGTAAAATTTTTCTTGACTGCATCAATCCACTTCGCTTTTGACGCCATCCATCACAGGGTTTAGCAAATCAGTGATGGGCGACAAAGAAGTTCTTAACCAGCGAAGTCGAAGCTGATGGTACTGTTAATGCAAGTGATATTTGAACGAAGATGGATGCACTCATATGAGATTTTATCCACTCAGTGAAATCGCAAAATGTACCTTAGACACGAGTGGTCAATGGCTTCTGATAACTTCTTAATATCACTCACATCGGCCATGCCTCGCAGCCATATAGCAAGATCGAGCGAATCTTAACTATATAGATGCGGACTTTCATTCTTTTTCGGACTCTTATGGTGATTTTGCGACGACTCCATAAAGATTTCGTCAAACGGAAGAGCGAATTTCTAGCTACCGTTATCCAGGTTATTTTCTTCTTTTGCCTGGTCATTTGGTATAGAGTAGACCCAAAGCATTTAAAATCGGGCATTTCATCAACTGGCAATGAGTTTACAAAAAGAAGTATTTTATCAGTTTCTTGCATATAACACGAAAAGCCTTTCGTTTTATTTACATCGACTCTGATGCTGGCGCGTTATTTAGCATTAATTGCATTTCATCATAACTATCAGCAGAAAGGACTACATCATCAGACTAAGGACTAGTGTCAAGAGGATGAAGGATCGCATTTTAAAATGGAAGGAGTTCTTTGAGGCAAAACTTAACCACGATGCACCATCTGTTGCCCCAGATACATCTGATTCACTCGTGGGACCATACTGCAATTGCGAACTACTGAAAGAAAAGGAAATATCTCCGTTTCCCATAAGCCTAAGGCCAATAAAATTCGAAAGAAGATGGTCTCTAGGCTGAACTCTTCAAATGTTGTCCATCGTCCTTATAAAACACCAACAAATGGTATGGAAGAAAGAAATAATAACTGATAACTGGAGGAAAACAGGAAGACAGGATATATTGTGGCAATTACCGAGGAATCAGCTTGCTAGACGATGATTTTTCTTCCCTTCTACTCAATAGATTTATGGTAATACGGGACAAAAGGATGCGCCCTAACCAAGTTGAATACTTACCTGGGCGCGGTTTTGCTAATCAGATATATTCACGCGAGAGAAGGTGTTAGAATACCGCTTCAAATATCAGCAACCCACCATCAAATGTTTCGATTCTGTGTTCGATTCAACTGATATAACAGCGCTTTGCAGGGTAATGGATGTGACAATGTTCTAGAAAAGATCATTCACCTCATAAAGGCATTTTATCAGCGTACATCGACACAAATCTGCATATATGAACTGATAGACTCTTTCGAAATAAGAACTGGTGTCAGGCTGTTTCCCCTACAATATTGAATTATGCGATAGACTGGATAATGGAAATCAGAAAACATTGTCTGCACTCAAGAGGTGTACAAATCAGTCCTGAGCGTAGCATCGTAGACGTTGAATACGCTATTGCTATCCGTACCATTTCGTTAATCGTTCTTCGAGTTACAGTCGCTTTATGAAAACGGAATAATTTCCTATTATCGTCTAGTCGAGTCTCCATTCTCAAGACCATCTCCAATAGCGATTTCCCACCATGCTGCTGTCGTTGTAATTCTTCGGTGCATCCAGTAGTCCGATAGTCTCCATTTGTCAACATTCGTGCTTTAGCAGCTTTTTCAGACTCGACAGTTGGACAGTTGCTTCCGATACCCAAACTAGCATGCTTCTTACTGCTATTGTCCTAGCGTAAAAGTGGTTGACTTTTGTTTTTTTAGTTAGGACCAGTATTCATCTGCTGTTTCAGAAAAGTCATTGATATTTATACCATTGAGGTGCTTCAGAGTTCGAAAAGCCGCGTATGTTCCTGAAACTTTTAATCTGAGGTAGTTGAAAGATCTTAGTGGACGCTTTTTCTTGCGGGTTGCTAATTTTATAAGGATCGAATATGGTCAAATTGTCGGTTGTAAAGGTTGTTCATTTTCAGCACCGCTATAAGGCTATCTATTACGAAACTCTTCCAGTGACTGCTAACTATGATGTAACCAATCTGGTTTGACTCTTAGTTATCCGAAGAATTCACGTATATTACCGGAAGCATGTATTCAACAAAAATTCATGTTCTTCGGCAAAGAGAAAGCGTTTTTTATTGGCGCACCCTATTCTGATGCCATATCTGCCAATTGTCGAGTTCATCACAGTGGCATCGTGGCCTTATGTGCACACTCCAGTCTCCTCCGATTATGTCATGTTTCGATAGAGATATTTTATTAGCAATTAATGTTTGCATAGAACTTATCTTTATCATGATTATCTGCAGATAAGATCGCAAAACATTGATGATCGAGTTATTGCAGAACTTACCTTTAAAGCAGCCAAAGGAAGCAGCCATAGCAGCCATTCTGTTGATATGCTATACGGTCGCTAACCGATTTCCATTCGATCAGAGCGGAATTTATTCTTTTAGAAAAAAATAAGGCCATTAGCTTTACATTTTAAACAGATTACTTAATTCTTACATTTATTTACAGAAGATGCATGTATATAGGAAAACACTTCAAGCCTTAATTTATCCAATTAGTTGTACAACGCCACATAATTTTCAAATAACCAATTTTCAAACTCCAACATGGTGTTACGAATGTGAAGGACTCTTATGGGGTCTTGCAAGGCAAGGTTGATATCTTTTTCAAAGTTTTCATTAAAAGTTTTTTTATTCTCTGATATTATAAAACTTTTATGTATTCCTTGGATCTTCGATCATTGAATTTAGCTCTAGAATTCCTCAAAAGTATTCTTTGTAACCAGTTTTTCAAATAATTCTTAGCTTTATAAGAAAAAGAATTATCGTGAATGCATGTAGTAAACCTATTTGTATATTAATTTTTTCCATTTTTTTATTTATTTATTTATAAAATAGGCAAGCAGAAAAAAAAAAAACAAAAATCGAAATATAACTAATTGGTTATATTAATTATGAAATCAAAAATCGAATTTAAATAATAAAAGTGGCAATAAAATAGTAAAAGAAAGGATATAGAATTAAAATAAGTTTATGATCTAAATTATGTGGTAAAAAACTTAATCAGACTTTTTTAATTTAAAACTGGATAGAGCGGGAGACAGCCTTTCATCCTCACGTTCATTCCAGCAAATTACCTCGAGCATAAAATCATAACTCTCGCATTGAGCTTAAATTCAATGAGCTTGTTGCTTCGAGTTATATTAGAAGTTAATCTAAAGATCATAATATTTGTTATTGTCAACATCTATTGTAAATTAATTCAGCTTAGAATTGAGTGGGATAATTGACTAATTTCAGGCCTAAAATGTGCAGAATGTGGTGTTAAAGTCCATGATAAGTGCCGTGATCTTCTAAGTGCCGATTGTTTGCAAAGTAAAACTATTAGCTATAAAGCTATTTTTTCTGGCCTAGATATTTTCTTCAGATTGACAAATTTTTTTTCCTAGGAGCTGCTGAAAAAAGCTCAAAACATGGTGAAGGTGATAGAACACAAAATCTGATTGCAGTTATACGAGATAGAATGAAAATTCAAGAAAGAAATAAACCAGAAATCTTCGAAACAATCAGGTAATCAAATATTTCGATCTTGGATAAATTTTTGGGGATGACTTTTCATCGGTATTTAGACTCTGATTTTTTCTCATTCGGTTGATATGCAATGGATAACGATTTAAATTATCGTTTTGAAAGACGGGCTCCGGCATCTCTTTGATCTATCTTCCGATTTACGATTTTCCATTAGAATGGTGCTGTTCCGAATTTTTTCAGTCAATTCAAGTTACGTCGATTTCAGGATAATTTTTAATATTGATGGACGTGTACAGCAAGAAACATTGAAACAGGTTAAAGCGAGTATTCTTGAAGGCAATTCAAAATGGAGTGCCAAAATTGCTTTAACTGGTTATTTTTCTTATAAAGTACCATAAAGTCGAAATCCAATTTTCTCAGCTCGCGTTTCATATTTCTTTTTTTCCGAAAAAAACAAGATGGTATAAAAGAGAAATTTCAACCATCGCTGGTGTTGTCTAATTTTATGAATCTGATCATGGACTTTTCTTAATTATTTTTCAGTGATATGTGCTCAGGGACTGATTGCAAAAGATAAAACGGGTAAAAGTGATCCATATGTAACTGCTCAAGTTGGAAAAATTAGGAAACGGACAAGAACCATACATCAGGAATTGAATCCTGTTTGGAATGAGAATTTTTTCTTGTATTTTATTTTTTACTTTTATCCACCAAAAAATGGGGGAAATCGACTTGTAGAGATTAAAAGCTTCAAAAAAATTTCAGTGAATGCCATAATTCAACCGATCGTATAAAAATTCGTGTTTGGGATGAGGATAACGATTTGAAAAGTAAATTACGACAAAAGCTAACTCGAGAATCAGATGATTTTTTAGGTCAAGCAATTATTGAAGTTCGAACGTTGTCTGGTGAAATGGATGTTTGGTATAATCTCGGTTCGTTTTTTGATTGAGAAATTTTGCTTGTTAATGTGATTTAAACCTTCCATTGATCCAGAAACTAAAATTTTATCAATGAAAATTACCATTTATGTATTGCTTAGAAAAACGGACCGATAAATCAGCAGTTAGTGGTGCAATAAGATTGCATATTAATGTCGAAATAAAAGGTGAAGAAAAATTAGCACCATATCATATCCAATACACATGCCTTCATGAACATTTGTTTCAGGTTAATTTTGTTAATTAATTAATTATTAAATAATTATAATTAATATTTGTATTAAATGGATCCAGTGAATACTGAAACATTTATTCGTCTTGCAAAATTTTTTAGCACCACTGTACGGATCAGGATGAAGTTCGCTTGCCAGATACGAAAGGCGATAACTCTTGGAAAATATATTTTGATGATATCGGACAAGATATTGCCAATGAATTTGCTATGAGATATGGAATTGAGAGCATATATCAGGTTTTTTAAATTTAGTTACTAAAAATGTTTGACTCATCTTCGTTTGTTTTTCTGAATTGCTTAATAAATAATTTTAGATATTGCTTGAGTTTGATTCTGTGGTTATTAGGATGACATTCTTTCGCCACACAGTGAGTATAGGTTTATGAGGGTCGTATATTATGTAAATAAAAACCAAGAAAATTACATGTCAAATCGATGAAGAATGATTTCATAAAAGAATTTAAAAAGTAGATATGATTAAATTTTTTCATATCTTTCAAAAGTTCAGAATTAAATTTCATTAGCAATAAATTGGAAGGTTATGATAATAGAGTGGATGGTGATTCATATCATTCTGCCGAGATGAGATACGGGTTAAAAATTCCGGGTTCTGGCGATCCGCAAATACTTTTATCGCCAAGTGACTCGCTGACGAAAATTTCTAATCTTATTAACATAAAAAAAGAGGTGCAAATCTAATCAGAATTTACAAGCACTAATTATTTAACTTTACTCCTAATAGTTTGTTTGCAACTCTTCTTAATTTAATACTAAATTGTCATAATTATCATTTATTTTTTTTTGCACTTAACAGATTTTTTTTCAAAGAATATGCCAATGATTTTGGCATTTTTTTGACAGAAAGAGCTAATAAAATTAACGATAAGCAATATTTTTCTCAATAAAGCAAAAAAAATAACAAAAAAGGTTAAGAGTAAATGGAACTCATTTTTTCATTTTTCATTAGGTATGTTAAGCAGAAAATTAGAAAATTTAGAAAATGATTAGAAAATTTTCCCAAAATATCGTCTTGTCTAATTTTTATCCCATTCTTAATTTTCTTTGTTATAATTCGATTCTATAATTTTTCTGCTTCTATAATTTATATTTTTCAAACAATTTTAGAAAAGTAATTTTAAAATAAATTTAATAAATTTAACAAAGATTCAGTTTAATATTTTTAAAATCATTTTTGTTGCAGGCGATGACACATTTTGCTTGTCTTTGCACTCGTTATATGTGTCCTGGTGTACCGGCAGTATTATCAACGCTATTAGCAAATATTAATGCATACTATGCACACACCACTGCAACATCGGCTGTTTCTGCATCGGATCGCTTTAGTGCATCGAATTTTGGCAAAGATCGTTTTGTTAAATTACTCGATCAACTACATAATTCATTGCGAATTGATCTGTCTATGTATCGAGTTCGTTTTTAATAGTTTTTTTTAAAGGTTTTATGATAAAAGATATAAAATTTCCATTTCCCTTAACTTTTTTTTCAGATTTATGCTTAAAATCGCCTCTAAATTATTTTTAAAAAACTGCATATTTTTCTTCTAAAAGCTTGCACTTTATTTCCGTTTTTTAATGTGAAATGTGAAATAATTTCCCTTTCAAATATGGATTGATAAGAAGGCTTTATACGATTTGACTTTCTTCTTCTAATTGCTCGCAACATTACTTGTTAGGCTGCTTCAGTGGCTGCAAGGATGAGGTATTTCTGCTGCTGTGCCTGAAAATCCTTTTTCCTAAGCCTGAACATATTTTTTCCCCATCTTTATTGAGCCTCCTTGCTTTTGACTCCATCCATCGTAAGATTTCTCTTGTAGTGAAGTACATACAAGTACAAGTGAATTTCTTTGATGGATGGTGAATATGATCTAAACCAGCCAGCTTAGACAAGTTTTTTCAGTCGAATTTTTGTTTAATGAGTTCTGTTCGATCAAAGATCTTTCGATCTTTTCTTTGCAAATTTGGTTAAGGAATTTGTTTCCATCCGAAAACATAATACTAGGATATAATTTAGTAGCTATGGAGTTTTTTTAAAACTCATTAATTCAAGTTTGGCTAGCTGCATTGATTTTAGGGTGAGGCTTTTTCGCCAGTAAAAAAATTTGAGAATACAAATGGTTTCCTATTATCACCGGATTTGACATCTTTTTAGTGGCATATTTTATTCTTGTCACATTGTTCAGTAGGTAAGGTCAGGAGGTTCTCGAGACCAAAACCGAGACTAAAACATCATTTTTTGATAACATTGCTTTTTCATTCTAATAATAATAAGGAGCTGTATGCTAGAGAGTGCACGCTAGTTATTTAACTTTAGAAATATATATTTAACTTCAACTCGAATAAGATAATAAAAATAAAATAATAAAAATAAAAAATCTTCCAGGGAATGAAAAAAGCCCCTAGGATGTTCTCAATAATTTCAGAGAACGCAAAGCAATGAGATCCTCAGTGCAAAAAGTTTGAGCATACTTATTTAAGCATAAGAATCACTCTAATGAATTCAGCCATCCTGATTCTATCCGTCCCTTTTCGAGTTCATCGTAGGCTTATATTCTTATTTTATCTGCCTAATGATATTTTGCCTTAAATAGGTATAATAACTAGATTTAGGCAAATGTTTACTAGTTAAGCTTTTCCGAGATTTCGCTTTTAAAGCTTTTTTCTCTCTTTTTTTCAAAAGTAAAGTGAAAAAAAGAAAATTATTGTCTGCATTATTTTTTAATTGAATGAGAAAAGCTGTGATACAAATTATTGATCATTTAAATTAATTAAGTTAAATTAATTTAATAAGCATTATGAGGGAAAATGTGAAAATTTATTAGCGATGCGATTTTCTAAAAATAGGTTTTAACCACTTTATTGCTCTTTCGCTCACAATTTTAATTTTTAATAAAATTTTTCGAAATTCCAAGGAGAATTCATTTTTCTAAATATGCGCTATATACTCAGTTTCTTTAAGGGAGGAACGAGTGAGTGGATAGTTATTGAGGTCATCGAGTTGAAAAGGAGGCTCGATTCCTGCACCTGGCGAGAGTGAGCCCGTCGTAAAGAAAGCCGAGTAGTGTGTGCTAGCGATCACCGAGTGAATGCGTAGTATAAGTTCTTGAGCGTATTTTCAACCAGCTAATTTCATCAAAAGCGTCGCGCACTATCCACTCGCTTACTTTAATATATAATTTTATTTCATAACTGCAATTTTACATTATCTCTTTTTCTTATATATTTGATAAAAAAATTTGACCAAAAGAAAATCATCGATCGCATTGCTTTTTTGTTTTTAATTCTTCAATTCCCTTTGACTTTTTTTCTAAATGTTATCGAATATTTTAGAAATATTTTCCGTGTTCGTCACGAGTGAAATTAGCCGATCTCAAATCAACGGTTGACTTATTAACGTCAATAACGTTCTTTCGTATGAAAGTCTTGGAACTGGCGAGTCCGCCACGTGCTTCTAATGTTGTTAGAGAATGTGCTAAAGCTTGCATGCAGGTTTCCTTCAATTTCAATTTGTTAATTTCTTATTCCTTACACCTTTTAAATTAATCGATGGAGAGGTGGGATAGTGGATAGCCTAGTGGACAAAGGAGCAGTTTGTCGAATTCTGCTCTGGCGTGGGAAATTTTGCATTAAAAAATCCTGGTGGTGCTGAGCATGTAGTGCACTTCTATCGTTAATTGGCTTGGTAACAACCAGAAATGATAAGTGCTAACTCTTTACTCACTTAATATGAGCAATGTGTAGCTTGATTGTTCGGATTTTTCGTTTCATTTTATAAAAATTGTTCGATTTGTTAAATGGTCTTAACTGTTATTGGTTTCACTTTTCTTAGTTTGAATTTAAATTTTACTGTATTCCTGCAAATTAGTTACTAATTAATGCTCGAAAATTTGAAAATATGGTAATAACCAGTAAAGTAATTAGATAAAAATAAGTTTTTTTACCTAAAATTGTAGGCAACATATCAGTTGATGTTCGAATCATGTTGTGAAGATGGAGGGCCACCAGCGGATAGTGTAAAATTTTGGTTTGATTTTTTGGACTACATGATGAGAGTGATCGAAGATGATATGAACATATACACCTTAGTATTGAATCAGTTCCCTCAAGAATTAAACATCGGCAATCTTTCTGCTGCTACCCTTTGGCAATTGTATAAAACTGATTTGCAAATGGCTTTAGAAGGTTGGCAAATTTTTTTGTAAAGGTTCTTCTTATATATCTCCATGTCGCGAAGCCATAAAAGCAAAACCTACTGTGAGATCGAAGCAGAATTCGCAATTAACTAGCAAAATTTAGTAAATTTAAATACATCAGTGTATGTTAGCAATGGTGAAATATTATTTTGAAAGTCTTTTTTGCTTTTACTTTCCATAATATAATCGATTTTGAGGATTTATTGAATTATTAATTTTATTATTATTTATTGATTTATTGAGGATTTATTGATGTTTGATTTAAATTTTATAGAACATGCCCAAACGAAAAAATGTTCAACTCCGGAATACATGAACCTATATTTTAAAGTGAAGGGATTTTATTTTAAATATGTCGCTGACTTACAGCAATACAAAGCATCAATCCCTGAATTTCCTGCGTATGCCTTTCATTTTCCTATAAATTTTACATATTCTGTCTTTGCATATTTTAAGATTTCGTCCATTTCTGTCATGAATTTATGTCCATTTCTTGTGTGGGAAAACTAGAAGGACGAATAAAGCGTCACCTCTTTGTCCTCTTTTCTCACAAAATATTTTTTTTGGTTCTAATTTCTAATTCAACTAAAAATTTTTTATGCTCTTTCTTTTGAGAATAATTGCGGATAATGCTGAAGTAGGATACGAACCTTTCGATTATTGATGAAATTTAGGTGAATCATAAATTGAAAAAATGAAGATGGCTATTACATTTCAGATGGTTTATACCATTCGTTATGGATTGGTTGAATGAAAACGACGAGCATTCAATGGACATCCTACGAAATGCTTATAACCATGATAAATCGGACAATTTCCCGCAAACTTCTGAACATACGAAATTTTCGAATTCTGTTGTTGATGTATTTACACAACTCAATGAAGCACTTAAATTATTAAAACAGGTTTAATTGTTTGGATTTCCATAAATTTATCATTTCTGATAAAATTGTCACTCTTTTCAAAAGCTAATGGAGAAGCGTTGATTTAATTGTAGATGGATTGTCCAAATCCGGAAGTATATGCAGATATGATGAAGCGATTTTCGAAAACACTGAATAAAGTTTTGCTGGCGTACGCGGATATGGTGCAAAAAGATTTCTCAAAATTCGTTAATAACGAAAAATTAGCTTGTATCTTAATGAATAATGTTCAGCAACTAAGGTATTTTCTTTTGTTTTCCATTTTTTCAAGGCTTAAAGTTTGCTTATTGAGAAAAGTCCAAAGATGATTTGGTATGGTTGATTCAATTCAAGGTAAAAAATATTGGTTCGATTTCGATTTCGTGGCTCTGATAATAGTAAATATTGTTTAATTAGTAAATATTGTTTAAAATAGTAAATATTGTTTATTGTTTAAATATTCCGTGGCTCTGATAGTAGAAAACATTGAATAAATAACGTGACAGCCCACCCGCACTTCTCGCAAATCGCTTACTGGCAAAATTTCCAACCTAACTAGAAACAGTGAGACTTTTCTAACACTTGTTGAAGTTTTTGTTCATCTTATAATTAAGAAAAAACCGTGTTCACAGGTGGATCCACGCATTATTTCGCTTTAATCACATGTTCATTACTAATAATAATAGATCACTGATGTCTTCGTGAAAGCAATATCCACTTTTTTATGAAGAAAAAAACAGTGTTTCTTTAAAACATTTCAAAATTATTTACAAAATAATTTATATATAAATATATATATATATTTATATATATATATATACAATTACAGAGTGCAGTTGGAAAAAATATATGAAAACATGGGTGGAACTACTTTAGATCAGTCAGTTACTGGTGTATTAAATAATTTACAAAAGAAATTGAATGCTGTATTAGATAAACTATCAGTACAGTTCGTTGAAAGTCTTGCATCAAACATTCATGAGCAAATGAATAAACTTGGCGTTATTCTAACGAAAATCAAAGGACCGCAATTACAGAAAAGTCAGCTTGCAGGGGTTTGTTTTATATCATTGGTTAAAAAACTCCTGAAAGTACCAGATTGTTTTAATCAGTCAGATCTTTAAAGTCCAATTATAATGAGGGAGTCTCCAAAGAAATTTTGTTGAAGGAAGTGGATGCAGTACTTGAACCTTTAATGGAATTGCTTGAGGATAAGTTGCAGCAATACGCATCACAGTGCGAAAAAACAGTACTTAAACACTTACTTAAAGTTGGATTCCAATTTTTCCTCTTAATCATTTCATATTTATATTTGTAATAAAATAGTTAAAACTATACTTTTAAATATTTATATTATGCAATATTAAATTTTTAAAGGAGCTATGGAGAATTACAATAGTTAGCATGGAAAAACTTGTTGTTCTGCCTCCACTTGATAATAAAGCAGTAAGTCGTTTGATAGTACATAAGAAATGCTTTTATTAAATTATTATTGTCTTTTAAAATCTATTTATCAAAAATGTTTACATAAAAATTTCAGTTAATTTTTTGATTTTTTAAAATGAAAATAATAAATTCTGTAGATTCTAAAGCAACTTCCCAATGCCAAAATTGGCGATGTAACAAAATTAATGTCTTCACATTTAAAAGAAGTGAAAAATATGAGTTCTGTTAAGGAGATGATGGTTTGTTCTTCTTTATATTTTTTCTTTATATTTTTTAAAAATCACTTCAATAATTCAATATTTAGGTCAGTTTTTCACGTCAAATTTTATTTTACTTCTTTATTATAGGTCACAATTAATAGATGAAAATAGTAAGTAAAAAGTAAATATGCAGGACGGGTTGCGAAGAATTTAAAGTTTTCTGAAATTAGGTTCAAATGTTTAAAAAATAAATAGAATTGCTTCAGTAATAAGTAGAAATAAGGGATAGAATAGCCAAGTGAATAGCAGTTTCTATTATCGTGTTGAAAAGCAATGGTTCAGTTCTTATTCAAGTAAATGATAAATTTGCGATTAATGTAGTATATAATATTGTTCATTATTGCATTTTTCGCATATCTATCTCATGAAGGGTTGAAAACTATCATATCGCAGGATATTGCCCGTGAATATGAACGTTCATTAACACCAAAGCAGTGCACAGTACTGGATGCTGCATTAGATGCGATTAAAGAATGTTTTCATGCTGGTGGTCAAGGACTGAAAAAATCGTTTTTTGAAAAATCACCCGAATTACAATCATTAAAATATGCTTTATCGTTATATACTCAAACTACAGAACAACTTATTAAAACATTTATTACTACACAGAAACAACAAGGTTTGCGTTATAAATTTTTTTGCTGGTTCATAAAAAAAAAATTTATCTAAAGCAATTTAAAATAATTTATTTAAATTTATCTAAAACTGCAAAACTTATTTATTTCTCTCACAGGACTCACATGCTGGATCATTAATCGATTATTTTTTTTGCAGTTGATTTGTTTATTATTCTTGCAGATCTACCATCACAGGAACAACCAGTTGGTGAAGTTAGTGTGCAAGTTGATCTGTTTAGTCATCCGGGAACTGGTGAACAAAAAGTCACCATTAAAAGTAAGTATATGTAGAATGAAATATTTATCAAAGAACATCAATTTCATCAGCTATTCTCAAAACTATTTTCAATACTCAATACGATTTATATTGTTTTGCAGCCTTTTTTTTTCATGGATTTTGGATGAATTGAAATTTACAATCATTATTTTTAGTATTGGCGGCCAATGATTTACGATGGCAAACCGCAAGTGTGTTCAAACCATTCGTTGAAGTTCATTTGGTTGGTCCTCATTTGGCTGATAAAAAGCGAAAAATGGCAACAAAATCAAAAGCTGGAAATTGGGCACCGAAATTCAATGAAACTTTTCACTTGTTTGTACTCTTCTTGAATTGAATTAGAATTCATTAATTTCTTGAAATTTTAATGCACTGCCTTGTAATTAAAATATTTTAATTTAATTTGTTTTAAATAGTTAAATATTTAATTCTAATTAGTTTTAAGATGCGACTTGCGTAGAAATCTATCCACTTCTATCCACTTCTTTTTCGTAACTCTGCATTAATTATTTCATTAATTATTTAATTAAATTAATTAAAATTAAAATTAAGTTAATTAATTAAACTATATTTAGATTAATTAAACTATATTTTACTTATTGTTGGATCATTGTTGACGTTAGAATAGATACAAATGAATTAAGAAATCAGATATAAAAATTTCTTTGAACTGCATTCTAAAAAATCACAAGAAAAAATCACCAGATAGATCTCCATAAAATTTCGTATTCCTGGCGTTCCTTCTTTTCAGTTTCCTAGGTAATGAAGGTGAACCTGAACATTATGAATTGATGTTCCAAGTAAAAGATTATTGCTTTGCTCGAGAAGATCGTATTGTTGGTGTTGGAGTACTGCAGTTGGCTTCATTAGCTGAGCAAGGCTCATGTGCATGTTGGGTACAACTTGGTAGACGATTTTATATTGATGAAACTGGTCTCATTTTGTTAAGGTGCGTTTAGTATTCCAATTTTATTTGTTTTATTATTACTGGAACCAGTACTGATTGAATGTCAATTTCAATGTTTATTTTTATGGAGTCGTTTGATTTGAATGTGTTGGTTATGATATTTCAGGATACTAAGTCAGCGTCAGACTGATGAAATAGCTCGAGAATTTGTTCGTTTGAAATCAGAATGTCGTTATGAAACTGAATCAACCATGGCTGCTTCATTTAGTAGTCAGCAAATATCGAATAAGATATTTTAAGCATACTGGTAAATTATTTAAAAATGATAATGATGGATGCCAACTTTATCGTCGGAAGATGACCAATAATACCAATTTTAAGCTATAATTTTGAGGCTAATTGCCTCTTTTTTGTACGAATAGCTTTATTTTTTGGTGGGCATATCTACTTATAAATTTGTGCTGTATGTGTATATTTTGTTAATTACTGGTTTTCAATTGATATTTTCATTATTTACTACATATAAACGGGTTTTCTGCATAGTTTCAAGCTTTTTCACCAATATTAAAATTTTCTTCTAAATTCTTTTCATTTTATCGAATTCTTTTTTAAGAAAAACATCATAGAAAATGGCAAGTGCTGAAAATTTTTTGCATTAAACTGCAAGCCGGATGTAACCTTTAGATCGATTAATGCGTAATTTTATCTTTTTTTGCCAATTTTATTTTTACATCATTTTTTAATATTAGAATTTTTCCTATCAACCAAAGAATTAGTCCCAGTGAGTCGCTTGAAACTATTTTTTTTCAGTTGTCACTAGTCGCATTATATAAAATTACTTTTTTATAATAAATGTAAATTTTCACCATACCAAATGATTGACTCTTATGCAATATATCTTCTTATTTCATGTTCTCAGTTTCGTCAGTGTTATTTTAATGTTTCAGTTTTAATTTATAGAATTTCAGAAATTTTAATAATTCAGAAATAGTACAGTTGAGATTTTTTAGATAAATTAATTTTTCATAGGTAAAATAGTTTTAAAAAATTTTCTTGTTAACATCTCATTCCTTTTACAATTTTTTTCAGAATATTAAGAAACAATAATTTCAATCTTTTTAGGTTCTTAAAAATATCCGCAACTTTTTCAAAATATTTTACAGTGTACGTTTTTTGTGAATTCGGTTCGGTTTTTTTGAATTTCCATATAATTTTATAAATTTAAGTAGTATTTGGCTAAAGGGATTTAGGTTTTTTATTTACTGTTTAATTAACAGTTCAGTGCTATTTAGTCGAAATGTGATAATTCTATATATGTTTCATGCATTGGATATTATAAATGATACTTGTTATTTAATAGGGTGAATATTTATGTTTTTGATTCTTTTTTGTATTATCTATAGAAAATAGGAATTTAAAAGTAATTAATTGGTTTTTTCAACATTCGGGTTCGGTGAAGTGAATTAACGGACTGATTAATCCGAGGTTTACATATTATTCCTAAATTTCTTGTATACTTCAGTTCTGTTCGATTTTTTTGTTATTTTTTGGTGTTCTTGTGGTATTGAGGTTATATATTTGGAAAATAGGCAATAAGAAATTTGAATAGAATGCTGCTGAGAACCTCGCTTGAATCAGATTTTAGACAAATTTTTCCAAAGATTTCCTTGGCGGTAGAAGCACAGCTGGCACCAAGATTTCTGAACAAATATGTTGTCGGGAACGAACTCTAGCCCTGGCGCTCTTAAATTACAGCAAAAACCCACTAAGCTATTGTACCCCTCATAATTTCTGTTGAATTTTTTGGTATTTCATTCTTATTGATTTACTTCAAGAGCACTAATTTTTTTGTGTCTGCAAGTCTGCAAGTGTCATGGAATATTTATGGCCATATTATTTCGTCAAAATGTGATGTAAATACATTTCTTTTAAATCTCATTTGTACCAATTTATAAAATTAGAATTTCCATACCTTTCCGGATATATAATATATGTAGGAAGAATTTAAATGCAATTTCTATTTATTTGGGCATACGACCCCACAAATATATGGGAAAACCGAGTTCGTTTTTTAAAATGTTATTCGAAATGATAAAGGATTGAATTGTCAACACCAGTAGATGCAGTTGTTTCCGAGCATCAGTTTTAAATCCCAGTAAGAGCTAAATCCTTTAGAATTGTTAAATCGCAATTGGTGGTTAATATTTGTGGGGATGTTGATGACATAACGTAATTACAAAAATTTTTTTCTTGTACAGTCGATGCTTATTGTGCAATTCGTTGGATGCCTTATTTATCTAAAAAGTTTTTTATAATAAATATTTTAATGAATGAAAATTAAGTAAATGTAAATCTATGAGGATGAAGAAAGTTTTCTGTATAGACTTACTGAATAGACTTATGATAGTACGAGACAGCTGAATGCGCGCTAACCAAGCTTTATTCAGAATCGAGCGCCCATAATATTACTTTGCATGAGAATCGTTTGGAGTAAAATCAGAGATCTACACCAAGCACCATCCGGATTCTACTTTAATGAAAAAGTTTACCTTCTCAAGACACAAGAATTTAACCCATAATTTGCCCTAGTCGAAACAACATACCACTCATCTATCCTCGTTATTATCGGTAATTATCCAAATAAAATTTTCATATTGGTAGTTTACCAAAAATAATTCAGCGGTATTTCTGTACTATAGAATTTTACATTCTTTTATAGCTTTAAACGTATCCTTCACTGTTGAAAATCACCGCGGTTATTAATGATGTTACCAAATATTTTTCAACTGCCCTCGTTAATACAATACTCTTTTGATTCTACCAACTGAATGGATTGTCTTTTTCTTAATAATTACCTCGAGAATGTGGCCAGTTCATCATAAATCCATAATTTCCGTTAATTGCTTCTTAAACGAAGGTTCAATCCTATGTAATTCATCGTTTTTCGATTCTTAGAGGTCAAAGAAAAGTTTTATTATGTTATTATTGATATTCTTGATATTCTTGATATTGATATTCTTAATAATAAATTTTCGGTGCAATTTCAATGGATAGATGCCAAGCAAGATACCTTTGAGCTGACTTGAGCCACCGATGTTATTTTCAATGCTTTTTTTCATTTCACTTCACTTTCACTCATACAATTTGTACACTGTGCTCATATGGTGACCTACATTGTGGAGAATCACGTTATTGGCTTGCGGTATTGTTTTTATTTGAGGGTCTTCCATGATCAGCACCATCCTTCTGGGTGAGAATCTACCACAAGCGCTGGTTTATCGTGAATTAGTAATAGGTTCCTTCAGCCAGTAGGTGTGGAAGCTGATGGAGACGTTGCTGGCGATGTCCACCACATGGGTTCTTCGACATTTTTATACTTGAGATAGGGCAGACATGCTTTTAAAGGGTCTTGCCCAAGAATCCCATCGTAAACGTAGAGAAGCTTAGTTGCGATTGGAACCGTTGTTATTATATTTCATAATAACCCACCTGCCTTAATCACTATTTTCTGTTTTGCAGATGTTTTTCTTAATCACTATGCTATACATGTATGTAAATATATATAACAATGAACACATGAACCAGCTGTTTGTTGCAGTCTGTCACCCAGAGTGTAGAAGGAAATACGGTAATGATCATGAAGGATTCTCATAAGAGAACAACAACACTGCCCAATTATCGGCCAATAAGTTTAAATAACTTTCCAATAACTTTCTTCTCAACAATATGAAAAGTCCTGCCAGCCATTATAGCTTCATGACCATATGAGCCAGTACATGAATACAAGTTCAAAAACACATGGGAAATAACATCAGGAATTCCTGGGATCACCAGCTGCTCATGGATAAGGCAGTCGCTTTAGACTCAAAATTTCAGACCAATCTGTGTACAGTTCAGACCTTAAGCCCAGGAAAGCCTTAAACTCAATGCTCCACAGATGGATTTGTGTATGGCTGGCCCTACAGAGCCAATAAAACCCTAAAATATGTCCACTGAGAACTCAATGCTACTGTGGAAAACGACACTTAAAATCAATTCGAAACACTTTGGCTATCAAGTGCGGCATATACTAAGGCGATTTGTTCTGCACAGATTTAAATCCCTCAGTCAGATAATCACCAGAAGCGAATATGGACAAAGATTCAAGAAAGGGAATTAGCATCAACCATTCCATTTTCTATACATGGATGATATCAAGTTATATGTAAAACTAGTGATCGAGACATTGACTCGCTCATCTACCTAACTAGGATCTTCAGCGAGGAGAATGAAATGTCATTCCGATTAGAGAAAAGTGGCCGGATGGTAGTAAAGGGGAAAAGTAGTAATGACTAATGAAGTAGACTTGCCATGACATATAGCAGACAAGTTAGCTACAGGTACTTTGGTATCCCAAAAACTAGCTCACTGGGAAGAATAAAATCCATGCCATAAATATGTACAACCAGCTAATCATCAACAGCATACTTACCAATCAACCAGATATCATGGCAAGAAACAAGAACCAGAAATCAGAGCTGGTGATAGTTGTAACAATAGCAAATAACTGGAACATTAGGAAGAATGAAAATTAAAAGCCAAACAAATAGCAGGAAAAAAAGATTTGAAAACCGAAGTATTCCCCAGTGGTAACAGGAGCTATGAACTTGAACTGTCTTCAACAAATTCCAGAAACAACACTAGAGATCTCTATTCACAATAGCGTACTGCTAAAAAACCAAAAACTAGATACTATGCAGATCTCTTAAGCTCCCAGGTCTCTAGTAGAGGAATCCAAATTTTCAGGATAACCCTTACAACTCACAGGGAAAAAGAGACTTTTTTGATACGTTATCAGAGACCAAAACATTAATATAATATTAAAAACACCAGAGACCTCTTAAGCTCCAGAGGAGCTCATTATCTATCAGCCGATTGGTTAAGTATGGGCCATAATCAAGTCGAAAAAGCCCAAACTATTTATGCTGAACATTCTTGGGAATAGTGCTGTATTTTACGAAAAATAAAATATTGGCTTCACCACGATTGTAATGTGAAATTGGATCAATTTTTTCGTCTGGCCCAAGGCTTCTTGTGGTTGGGATCATTTCTTTGGGTGGGCATTGTTTCGAAGAGGGGAGAGGGTGAAGGAGTAGTAGAATGATGAGAACGGTGTCTGTGTCGATGACTGTTAAGCTGTCTCCCCGAGGCACACAAGGTGGAAATATCGGAAATTTCGTGAAGTTTTTGCTTTTTTTAATTGTTGGTTTATTTTTATAAATGTAATTCGATTAAAAATTCTGATTATAATTTTTGGACTTTCTAAATTTAAAAATAGTTTGAATTTTAAAGTAATAAAAAGATGTTTTTTAGAAATAAATTATTTGCAATTCGTTCTGAATTTTATAAAATTATAAATTTATTTTAAGTCGTTTCTTCCGCTTTCTTTCTATTTGTTTTTTCTTCCATCGTCTATTATCGGCTTTTTTGCATTGGTTTCTTAAAACTTTTGTCAAGGATCTTTTTTCTTTTAACGTTTGCTTGGTTCATTATTTTGTATTGTTTACTGCACATGAAAAAAATGATGAGGTTTTTATTTTTTCCGTTTATCTATAAGTTCATAATTTCATTAATATATTTTATTATGAAAAAATGAGAACTTTTCTATTTCATTTTTCTATGCATCACTTTTCCATTTTTATTTTTTTTCGTATTATTACAAAAAATCGGTTTTTCTAAAGGACATGTTTGTAATTTCCGAGATATCAGGTAAATCCTATGTGAAGAGTATTTCGCTGTTTCCTTTTGTTCTTTTTCATTTCCAAGCTTTTCGTCTTTAAATTTAGTTTAAAATATTTAAGTAATGGCTGATGCTGGATTTTATCGAGGCACCAGCAGCGAACAAGATAGCCGTTTTACAGACAAGGAACGTAAATTATTAAAGCAGATGCGATTCGAAGGATCATTGGACCAAAAAGTAAAAATTTTTTCAAATTAATTATAATAAAAATCACTGGTATTGATGATTGATTAAACCATCGAAGAAGAAGATTGTACATAAATTTTAGAGTGGATTTTCTTTGATATGCCTTAGAGTGGATTTTCTTTCAAATAAAAAGAATAGGATTAAGGTGATTTTAAGGCTGAAATATACAAAATTTCATGAATGGAACTATGCTTCAGCTTGCTCTTCGCACTAAGTAATATTCGAGTGGAAATGTCGTGAGGTTCAATTTATTCGCAAAAATGCTTTCTTTTTTAGTTGAATTTTTGATTAAATTAAAATTTCAAGCAACCAATTAAGCGACTAAATTGTAAATTCCCTTCTCATCCGTTTATAGGATTCACTAGTGGACTGATTATAGTTATTGTAGGGCCTAATAAAATATTTTTGAAGAGCCGCCTGTGAGTTTGTTCGGTTAAGATCTGCATGGATCGAGTTAATTTGGATGTTGTAAAGCCGTGGATCACTGCGAAATTGAACGCAATTTTGGGAATGGAAGACGATGTGCTTATCGAATATGTCTTTAGTCAGCTTGAAGATAAATCGTTGAATCCGAAAGTGATGCAAATTAATTTAACTGGCTTTTTAAATGCTCGTTGTGCACGAGAATTCATGGGTTAGTTTCTTGTTTTTTTTTTGTAACCCGATTAATTTTGATTGAGTTAAATTTGTCGCTTTAATATTAATTTTTTATTCATCTTAATAAAATATTAGATCGAATAAAATTAGCTTATTTATAGGTGAACTATGGTCGATGCTTTTGGAAGCACAGAATAGCGATGATGGAATACCAGTATCTCTAGTGGAGCAAAAAATGAAGGAAATACAAGAAAAAGTTGGTTTATTTTTGGGCAGCTACCATTAATAATAAGAAAGATTTTGAAAATATTGCAATGTACAAGCATTTCGCCACTCCTGCAACTTGCTAAGCTTTGTGGTGAATTAAAAGCAAGGAGGACCAATAAAGGTCGGGGCTGATGCGATCAAGAAAAGGTTTTGAATCTTTGGGCCGCACCGATATATAAGTGGTCTCAAGCAGAGCATGTGAATGGAAACCTTGGAAATGCAAGTCGCCAGTAAAATCAGCCAAAAAATCTTCCAGTGAATCCTCTGGTGGTGTGAGCTGTTGTGAATTTCAAATTTATGAAATGATGTTCAAGTTTTATATGTGGTCATAATTTTTATCTTTTAGACGAAAGACGTCACTATTTCATCATCAAATGGCGCTTCTATGGATACAGCAAATTCAGACTGGAAAAATAGGTATGATTCACTGACAGGTGGTCGATTTGGAACAAAAGAAAAAGAACACGCATCTGATGGCGGTAAAGATGATTTGATGGGATCTTTGAGAGAAGGAGAACGAAGGCGAGATCGAGAGTCAGATCGAATTAAAAACTTAAGGAGTGAAAAAGATTATAATCGGAACAGAGAAGAGCGTGGAAGTAGGGATAGAGACGATGTCAAAGGTGAGAAACCTATTGGTATTTTTCATAATTTAAATTAATGACTTGATCTATTTCTTATTCGACAATTTTTTAATATTAAATTACACGTGTCATTAGTTGTAATTTTTTAGTATCCTTAGTAGTTTAGGAAAGCGCGATAAAGAAGATCGTATTGCAAGACGGCGTGATAGTAGGTCTCCAAGACGTCGTGAAAGTCGATCTCCAAGGAGACGTCGTTTATACGACGAAAGAACAGAACGCAAAAAAGATCGTTCTCCAAAAAGGTTTTCATTAAAACCATCGAAAAATTTTCCATTCCCGTAAAAGGTAGTTGACTTGTAAAATGGTTAAAATAAGCAAGTAAATGGTTAGCAGTGGTTTAATGATTAGTTTGCTTATGTCAAAAGCAAATCTTGATTTGTACAAGTATCGAAAAGCATTTTTTAGCAGGATGTATGGAGGCAATTTCATAAATTTTATTATTCACTTATGTACCAGCATCTTCAGATTGTTGGATCGTCTTGTTATCTTTTAAGAGTCTTAGACGGGAGAACTACTTTAGATCACCTCCTCGCCGGCGGTTTACCGAGCGTAAGGAAGAAGGAACGCGACGGGACCGTAGTGTAGAAGGTCATCATAAAAGGCAAGATTTTTTTAAAAGTATTTTTAAAAATTTCAGAAAAACCGGAGCGATATACCGGAGTGCAAATATAATGCCATTAATTTTCTGCTAGATAAAAGATAAAAGAGTATAAAAGATTTATTTCATTCATTACTACTACTTTTATATAATTTTTCACACTTTTCTTTCTGTTTTTTCTAATATTATTAAATTACTGGTTTTTGCATTTGATTTAACATAGTTTATCTTATCACTATGTCTTATTAATATTGTCTTATATATTTTATCTTATTAATATTTTAAGGAAACACGAATCATCTTCAACTGATTCCGAAGAGGAAAAACGCAGGTATGCTAGTGGATTCATTTAAACTTTTTATAAGTATTTTTAATATAAGTTTTTTTAAAAGTATCATGTTATTTTCAAATTTTTTGCGTATTACAAACAATACATTCACATTACTATACCCCAGAAAAAAGAAAAAGAAACGTTCGAAAAAGCATAGTGATACAGAATCAGAACGAGCTTATAAGAAAAGAAAAAAGCGTAAAAAGGAGAAAAAACACAAACGTTCTCGTCGTAGTTCCGACTCAAGCTGATTTTCATCTTACTATTTTCATCGGAAGTTATATTTTTTTTTGTTTTAAGTTTTCGATCTATATGATATATTTTAATTTTAATTTAACAGTGTTTTATGTTTGCCCCCACTGTTGTTTTTTATTTTAACAAAAAGCGGAAACAACAAAACGAAACACTGAAAGATTTTAAGTTCGAGCCATTGGAAAATCAGATGGTTTTCATTGTTCATTCAGAATGAATTAATCTCTATTATATGCTATTGCGAACGAAATGCCACAGTTTAATATATAAAAAAACTTATTTTTATTCTTTTGTTGAATGAATGATTTATTTTAAACTACTTATAATAAATTTTTTAAAAAAACTGAATAATTTGGTCGCATTTATGACGGTTTATTTGAGATCTTTTTAAAGAATGGAATTTACCTGGATCATTGATAGTATATATGGAAATTTCAATTTAGAAATTCGTTGTTTCGTTGTTTTTGTGATAAAATCGCAAATGCCATTTAAATGAGTTAAAATTTTGTTTCTAGCTATAAGTGTTGAATATATCGCTTGTAATTCTCGCTACGATCTGTGCGCTTGTTGAAAGTAGCAATAGTTTGGTTACAAACGAAGTAGGGTTTTTAAAAGCGGATGGAAATAAGCAAAAATAAATTTTTATCAATGTTCAAAATTCTAGTAGAAATGTGGGAATTCTGTTTCTTTTAAAATTTTGTAGTTGATCGATTATAGATGAAACTTTACTTGGATGGATAATTACTCGATGAAGAAGAGTTAATGTGACCTCACATCATCAATGATTGAAGGGACTCGAACACTGATTTCAGGAGCATCAGCTTCACTTAAGAAGACCTGGCAGCCAAGTCGCGATGTTTCTGATAATTCTGGTGCCAAGTCGAGCAAATCGTGCTCTTCTTCTACTGCTGGTGTGATTCTGTAACCTATTATCCGTTTTTTTGAAATGTAAATTGATGAAAGAAAATGATCCTATGGGGTTGTCTTCGAAAAGAAATAAAAACAAATGATCTCTAAAAAAGTCCACCTATCGAAATGTCTTTGCTCGAGAATAACGTGACATGTGCAACATGCAAGAGTGCCTTCGCAAGCCCCATAACCATCAAGCGGCACATCGGCGTTGATAACAACATCAAGCAGTGAGTCGCCTTCTTTGCCTAATGCCTCATGAATGCCATCGTTCGTTACAAACCGAACTTTAATCTGTCTAAAATTTTACTGAATATATCGTGAATTTTAAGGCCAATATCTAAATGAATTCTCTTCATCATATTCAATTTGTCAACAATATCGACTAAGCGAAATTCTCCAAAACTTGGCCTTAAAACTTGCAAACATCAATTTTCAATAAATAGAACATAAAAATGAACTTGTGGTAAACTTACCTCGATTTCGTAGACAGTAATCTTCTAGCACTGCTTCCACTTAATCTTACAATGGCATTCATAAAATGCATATTCATTTATGGATCTAAAAGTTAGCACACTAGTATTTTTTATGTTCTTTATTTTTAGAAATTCTTTAGATTATTCCACTCGCGGTCATGACAATCCTGCAGGTCCTATGCGGTACCTAAAAATAACTAAAGGCATTTCCTTTCCCGCCGTATAAGCTCTTATATCGCTGAGCCATTTTTTGACCATCAATAACAGGAGCAAGATATGCCTCAATTTTTCTGTGATGGACGAAGAACATATTCTAAGAGAACAGAACCTGGATTGGTAAGGACATCAGCCTTTTAACGATATTCTTACTGCTATTGAATAAAGATGAAATGACGTGAGACTTTTGGCAATCGGGTAGGACGTATCCTAGACAAGAATGGTCAAAGAGGCAAATCATTTCTAATGTTTTTCACTCTCCCTGGTTTCGTTTCGCCGTTTCGCAGCCGCATGGTAGAAGTGTATCGCAGCTAGGTAGATGAGATGAAAACTCGCTTTGCAGCCGATTCGAAAGATGTAGGACGAAAGAAAGATTTCTGGCTACTTTTATCTTCAACCATTAGGTGTAAAAGTGGATCCAAGATGTCTAAAGATTAATATTTTTTTGATAAGTTTACAGGAAAATGTGATTTTATCCGCATCAAATATGTATTAAAAAGTTTCTTATTTACATAAATTTGAAGGTAAATTTTCGCTGCTATTATCGGTATACGGTATGATGGCAACTGCAATTCTTATATCAGCGAAAAGGACAATACTACCAACTTATTCAAGATCCATGCTATGCTTTGGCTTATGGGTACCGACAAGTGATAAGGACGAACTCTAATCCACATTGATTCTCATCTGAAAATTTTGTATCATTCACCAACACACACCAACACATACCAACACGCACAAACACCTGCGTTCATACATACACTCTTTAATAAGTTTGATAACTTCTTATAGTACTGTTCTGTCGGTTGATTCAAAAGCAAAGTCGATGAAGCACCTAACGATATATTGCCAACATTTGAAGAGATGTTCCAATCGCCTCCTTATCGTGAAAATTTGGTAAACACAACCATGCTCCAGTCTAAATCTAGCTTGAATTAGTCCTGCTGTTATGAGTCTATGAGGCAGAAGGGATGAAAAATCTTGCCATAACTAAAAGTTGATTTCCTACAATTTTCCCAGTGCACGCCATCTGCTTTCTTCAGTTGGGAATTTTCTTACTTCAATCATATGGTATTCATTCCTATCATAACAGTGAATATAACTTTTGTGGACGTACTGCGAAAGACATTAGGCAGTACTTGAAGAGCACGGCTCGGAGACTACGAGGATTTTATCGACTCTAAGCTTCTGAATCAAATAATTTCTTGTCCGTTGGTACTTTGCAATTATAATCTTAGGACTCAGACTTTAAATCAGGTCCCAAATATTGGATGACTCATGATTTAGATTGAAAGAACTCTATCCATTTTTAATGGTTTTAACGGAATCCCCAATCTTACTTCGTATCATTCCACTCAGCATTTCCTGCTACTTTGTGAAGCAAGGGGAATTACTTTCAGTGATTACCTACTCGAGCTGCATATTTAAGACCATATTGCAAATCGTGTCTAACTAATTTTTGGGAAATTTCTAAAGACTAAGCTTTTATACCTATTAAGCCTTTTATAAAATATTTCAGAAAAATGAGTTATTTTCTTAACCTCTTAGCTTGGAGCTCATAACCTCTTCCGGCATATCTGTAACAAAATAACACATCGTACTATTACATCAAGAAATATAAGCAGATTTTTGCTTCGATTATATTTATGCCATTACAGGTTCGATTCCTGTTCCTTCATGGGAATAAATCTACAGTTAGGAATGATAACTAGCACTTGCACTTTTATTCTCAACTAACAAACAACTATCACCCTTAACAACCATAAGGGTCATTAGATCATAGTTGACTACAGATTACAGATTAGAGATCAACGTCGATGGATTAAGTCGATGAAGTATCAGCCAATCTTTATTCCAAATTAAGGTCTTAAAAAGATAGCAGTGGCGAAAAAAAACCACTCCAAATATTCCAAAACTATGAAGCAGTGAACTTGATAAACTTTTACAAATGAATCCAATAAAATGATGAAAAAAAGATTATAAATCACATTAAATGGAAAAAATTATTTATCATTTATTTGCAATGAGAATTCACGCTTAACATCACAATATTTTAGATAAAAATTGGCTCGTAAACCACCAACCCATGAACAATTCCACTTTCTTTTTTACAATAATTGCTTTTTGAAATATCAACCGAAATTATGCGTACTATGTGAGCTCATTCTTCGCCTTATGCTCTTTCTAAATAGGTGAAATAATTTATTAATGAATTTAACCGATTCAAATGCGAAAATTATTCGAATAAGCCTTTTCTATTATTCCTCTTAAGTGTATCATAGAAATTCTCTCTTCTCTAGTTTTTTAATTAATTAAAAATGTTTATATATTAAAAAAACCGCATAGCATTTCGTTTCAGGAATGGTTTGGAAATTCTCATATAATCATATTCATATTGTTTATCTCAGATTTGTAAATATATACTAATAAATCCAAATTCCTTCAAAAAAAATATTCTTTTAAAGACCATTTCATTCCATCTCCATCCTAATCTCACTGTATTCCTTTAATGTAAAATGCAAATAATATAATATTACCTCGAATAATATTACCGTTCTACCGTTTCAAATAATCCAACATAAGAAACCTATGCATCCACCAACACAGATCTATCACACTCTTGATTTTTATGTTAAGCTTATTTCACCCTTTAAACTTCCCTTAAAATATACTGAAAAATTCCTCTTTGCTTTTTATATTTTCTCAATGGTTTATTTACTAGATCTACGGAAAAAATTTTTCTTTTTATTCTGCTTTTTATTCTACTCTTTTTGCGACAAAGATTTACCAATTTAATTTTAAAATTACCGATTATATGCAAAAATATTTTGGATGCAATAATTTTTGATTGTTCGTAGGAGAGCGAATATAAAAAAGGATGATAAGGAAATATGGCAAACATGCGTCAGCCAAGATGAAAATAGTCAATGCCTTCGATCCAAGATTTTTCTTGCAACAATTTTTCAAAGACTCCATTTGTTAAATTCTGTTTTACACAAATTGCAACAGGAACAGTAGCCATACTGAAAATTTGAACACGCTGATCAGAAGAAAAATATGTTGTTTTATTTAATTAACTAAGCATAACTGCAGTTTTACTTCTTTAGGGAAATTTGGGGAATTCGCAATTGAATTTACAATGCAAAAAAATAATGATTTATATTATTTTAAACAATAAATTAATATTTGTTGATAAATATGCGCTCGATATTATCATAAAACTATTGTCGTTTGCGTATTGCGCATCCCAGTCTCGCAGCTTCAATTACATGTTTCGTCTCTTCGCTATCGTGAAACTTTGCACTGATTGCAATAACTTTGCTTCTTTGCCTCGTTGTTAATAAAACATTTTATTTATTTTTCACTGAGTTCAAAGTGATGCTCCTTAGAAAATGTAAAGAGTATGAAGAAAATGAAAAATGATAACAGAGAAAATGTGATTATTAGATATTTTTGTAGTGTATCTCTGCAAATATAGACGAAAGCCCTACGAGATAAATGAGTCAAACATAAGGTACAAATCGAAAAGAAAAATTCGTGAAGCCACTGCTATTGCTTCTTCTTCTTCTAACAACTCACACCATTACTGGTTAGGCTGGCTGTAAGGGTTTCACTCCAAGTTGCTCGTCCAATGCCATCGCTAATAGTAGTAATAGAAGCCATTCCTTTTTCATATATCGCTAGAACTCCCTATATGTTCAAAATCTTTTCTGTATCAGTCCAAGTCCTTTTGATTTGATTTTTACGCCAAGTATAATTTTGCCAATCTGAATAGCGAATCTGAATGGTCTTTTAGGTACCCAAGAATGTGAAGACGGATATGCGATTTTATCTGCTCGACGAATCCGTAAAATATATCTTGGGTATGAATGGCCAAAGGCTGATAACTTAATATCTTCCACTCTCATTGGCCATGTTTCGCAACCATGTAGCACGATCGAGCGAAGTGCAGCGATATGGACGCAGATTTTTATAGTTATGGTGATTCGCGTTGGTTCCATAAAGGTTCCATCAACTGGAAAAGCATATTTCTAATTGTCGTTATCCGGGTTATAATTTCTTTCTTTGCTTGGCCTTTTGGGAATAGAGTTAATTCAAGATATTTAAAATCCGATACTTCCTCAACTTGAATTGATAAAAATAGATATTTTATCAGCATCTAGGTATTATTATTATTATATAAGTCGAAAACACTTTCGTTTTATTTACATTGATTTTGAGCACAATTCTCGCTGCAGTTGTTGACATATTGTTTACTTTCATTTCATTAAATTATCAGCACAGATGACTACAACATCAGCTATTCAAGATCTATGATGCTATGCTCTGGACTGATTTGCGCATCTCTTGGGTGTCGATAAGCGATGCCATTATCCAGTCTATCGCATAGTTGAATATTGTAGGGGAAAGGACGCAGCCTTGACGAACACCAGTTTTTATTTCGAAAGGAGTTTATCAGTTCCTCATATACACAGACCCGTGCCAGGGTATGATCTTCTCTGGAACATCGTTAAATTCCATCACTTTCAAGAGCGTTACTCTATCAATCGAACTGAAGGCAGCTGCAAAATCGACAGACCAATTGACGGTGGGATTGCTAGGATTTGAAGTGATGTTCCATTTTCCAGCAGCCTTCTTAGCATAAATATCTGGTCAGCACAACCACGTCTCGGTGTAAATCTAGCTTGATTAGGACCGCTATTATAACAGCACCTGATTCTCAGATTTTGTATTAGAAATACTGTGAGATCCCACATATTTCGAATGAAAAAAAATTTTTGTATGGATGCAAAGCTGATAAAAGAAATTTATTCTGGTGAAGTCCGACATGATAATGAATAGGATTGGATACGGCATTTTGAAGGAACAAGAAAATGAAGAGAAATAGAGAGCATGAATTCAGCGCATACCGAAAATATTGTATGGTATCTTCAAGGTAGATATGGCCTGAAAATTGCCGAAGCACAGACTGCCGATAAAAAATTATAATTAAATTCCCTGAAATTTTAAAAAAACTGATGGAGAAGAATAGATATAAACCAAAACTTGAATGCCGATGAAATATTCGAAAAAATGCTGGAAAGAACTTGAACCTTCAATCCTTGTGAACTTGAGGCGAAACAAGTTTTTTAAATTTTTTCGTTATTTTTAAACAAACTTTAAATTTCAACATTAAAAAAATATATATAAATAAAATAAAGCTGAAAAAAAGAAAATTATATACCAAATTGGTATAATTGGTATAACTGCGGTTACTGATCGTAATTCAGCATCGAAATGTTCATAGCATCCACGATATATCTTTTTTGCATCAACATCACAAAAAGCAACCACCTTTTTCTGATTTTCTTTCGTTAAACTACTAAAATCCACAGTCAATATAAATGCTGTCGATTATTTAAATTATATCAAATAAACGGGATGGACATGTATATTATTATAGGCACGTATATTTTACAATTCCCATCATTTCCTGAAGATACTAAAGCTTTTTAAGAAAATGAACCATTGGTCCCATTTCACACTTTTTTAAACTATAAAATATAACACTGGATATACTTGAAAAAATGTTTTCCTTGTTTACCGGCATTCCAAATTGTGAAAGATTTCCAATTTGATAAAACAAGTTCTTGGAATTGGGACAATCGCATTTTCCAAATCATTTCTTTAGAGACATTTAAAGAAGCACATGCAGGATGATAGCGATAAAGTACTAATGTTTTTTCAACCTAAATAAAATAATAATAAAGGAATAAGATAAAAAAAAGTTGAAGAAAATCAGATTTAAAAAAGTTCAAAGCGATAAAAATGGTTGCTTATAATCTAATATTTTGTCATCATACCATTTATATTATTTATTTATACTTTTCAACTTTTTTCTGCTCTATCCGTTTTTTAAAAGAAAATCTCTTTAAAAATTAAAACTTTCTTATTTATATTCATTATATATATTCATTCATATTTACCCATTCATCAAATTGAAATTTTCAATTTGTTTCTCTAAAAGAACTCTACTCTTAGCACGACTTAAAATTATCTTCAGCTAAGCTTTTTTACCTTACGACATAAATTTTGCAGGTGAAAGATAGACGAAAGACTGCACGATAAAAAGATGTGTACCTAATTGATTAAAGATAGTATCTTCCACAAATAAGAAAAGTAAAGCCTCCTTTCAAGGGAAAAGAATGGATAAAAAATTTACTTTATGTAGTTTGCAACCAATTCTCAATGCGTTATAAAAAAATTCCAAATCCTCAGGGAAACCGCTTCCATATCTCTCGCAAAAACCACCAACCAAATCATACAGCTTTCTGGAAAAAAACCAAGTTGGTGCAACAAGTGTGGGTCCATGAGAGGTGAAAATCTGCAATAGGTTGATTATGAATGAAAAGAATAAAATATTTCTATTAAAACAAAAAATAAAGCAGTCGAAGTTTTTTTTTTTAAATAAAAAAAAAAATAAAAACCTGGTGATATAATCGATTTCCTGTGATGCTGTTCGCCCAATCTGCATATCGAAAAGTGGATTTCGCTGGATCACGAAAAAAGTTTGTACCAAAAAGAGTCATTTCAGGATCTTTCACTTCAAGAATGGCTGCATATGAATGGAATAAACGCTCTTTATTTGATACATCGTCGGCATCACAAAAACACAAAAATGCACCATCGCTTTGTATAACGGCTTGATTTTTCGAATAGCCAGCACCTTTAGAAACAATGGACAATTTAAAAATTTCAATGGGTGCATTTCATCGTCGAAAATATTACATACTTCATACTTCAACTGAATTAAATAAAACATAAACACTATTGCATCTGTCAGAAAGACTTACATTAATTAATACATTCAAATCACATTGTACCACTCAATTCTTTATTTGTTACTTTTATTTATCATCTACAAACCCCAGCTTAATTTAATTTCTTTATTTATGATAAATTGAGCCCAAAGACTGCTGGCAGGTTCTCAAATTTCAAATACCGCAAGTTTGTTCATCTCTTCATTCGCTACCATACGAATGGCTTATTCAAATAACGATACACTTTTCCAATAAAAACATTCACAAAAACGAGAAAAAAACCTTTAGAAATATTAGAGGAACTAATGATATAATCGATATCATTTGAAGCAAACTTTGATATATATTCATTTATAATTGTCTGCGTTCCATCTGTGCTTCCATCGTCATAAATCGAGATCTACTGACAAATATTCGTGGAATTTCATTCATCCATTCAAGTTTTTTTTTATATGTAATAAATATATTGAAAATATTTACAAAATATTTATAAAACTGTGTATAAAACTATATATAAACTGTATGTATCTGACAGCAGTTGCAATATTTTTATTGTTACTCAGAACTGATGCCATGCCTTAATGTTCTCTTTATTATGATTTTGCGTTTATTTTTCGTAAAGTGACGAATGCTATTTTTGCCTTGTTTTAGTTCACCAGAAAAATACGATTTATGACTTTTAGTGTTCCATGATAGTGCATCAAGAGTAGAGCCATATATACAACTTTTGGCAATACGTTGAAAAAAAAGTGCAAAAATTATTTGTGAAGTCCAAGTTAAAAAATGAACCTGGTACTTGGAGAACTTTAACAGACAATTCCCAAAAGGACTTAGGCAAATTTAAAGAAAAAACTTCATTGTAATTAATATGTTACATACAGACTGATTAAACTAAGTGCTAATGATATAATCGATTAAACTAAGTGCTAGACAAATTTGGAGTTCACGACTGCTATTAACAATTAAGAATTAAAATATTACATATAAACAACAGAAAAGACCGCTGCTAGAATAGCTATATCATCATCTTTCTGCGCGATAATGCCAGTAACTTTGTAAAAATTTTCAGCTAATATCGAAAGACCTTATACACCACGTTCTCAAACACCTTGCTAATTTTCATTTTTTGTTCTCTAAACTTCTTCCAAAAGAAGCACTTCCCAAGAAAAGAAACGATTTCTGGGATTTTAAAGCCAACATAACGAATACACTCGTATCATGCTGGCAAAATGTATTGGAAGAGTGTAACTGAAGCAACTATCATGAAGATACTTTTATAAAACCTTATCTATTCCATCTTTTTCCTGCTATTGAATCAGTTCAATCAAAAATAAAATTTATATGAAAAAGCACCTGTAATTTGACGTCTGTGGGCAAAATTTGAATAATCAGAGAATCCAAACATTCGCTTAACCATGGGAAGCCATTTCTTACTGGAACTATAGCACTCTAAATCTAATTTTTTTTATAACTAATAATTTTCGAGAAATTTCCGCTGGATTCATTTTAAATTAATTGATTTTTCTGCGTATTTTTAAAGTTATGAATACAGCAACGAATAAATATATGCGATAAATTTGGAAGTTTTGAAAAGTTTTAAAATTTAAAATTTTAAATTAATTTACCACGATGCACGGTTTTAACGACATTCAACAATTCACGCAAAAATCACTGCCTCTAAAAAAAATTAATGATCTCAACTGCTATGGAGGAGAGCGAGAGCGAACAATATTTGGCTGCAGAGGTGAAAGAAGATTATTAAACTATAGATGCCAGCAGCGTAGTTTAGCGGATATTCTAACCTTAAAAAATCCGGATTCGATTCCTAAAATATTTACGGGGCGAGAGCTTAAATAAATAGACGGAATATTGCTGGAATTTTAAGAAATAATTAAAATCTTACAATTCCATTTGTCGCACTTCATCGAATTGTTTTATTATTATTTTATTTTTAAAATTATTAAATTATTTTATTTTATTATTTTTTTGTAAATTATTTTACTTTTAAAATTCTCAAAATTAAATTTTAATTTTAATTTTTTAAAAATTAAATTTTTAAATTTTAAAATTATTAAAATTCGAGCCAACTTTATTGAAAAGCTTCTTTACTGAAAAGCTAAAATTTATTCGGAAAGCTTCCACGTATTTAAATCACGTATTTAATCTTGCCACAACTCTTTCTAAATTTAACTAAAATTTCGACGGTTCAATTCCCCTTCTTAAAAAATTACCAGCACTTTTAAACCTCAAGAAGCCTAATTTTAGTGCAAAGGCGCACAAAATATTTTAAGCTGAAACTCCTAAATTCGCACTTAAAATTTTCCCTTCTTCTTCAACCCTCAATTTCTCTGTCCTTCATCCCCCACCAACTTTTACATCCCCTATTCCAACTTATCATTGCCCAATATTGGACTTTTGCCAAATCAGATTATCGTTCTAGGATTCTGAGAATTTAATTAATTAATTAATTTTGTAGTAAATAAATCGGCTAAATTTATTGAAAATAATTATTTTATATTCTAAATGTAAAAAAAATACGAATGATTTGGGTACAATTCTGCACGATTGTTTTATAAAAAACTTTCCAAAATTTGAACTTTGGACCGATTTCGATGGAAAAATTTTTAAGTGGCGTCGTATGTTTAGGATAATTATTTCTTGAAGAATAAACAATGAATGAAGGTTAAAAATGAATTTTTCTCAGCGGACTAATCAATTATAATTGGTAGAACCCCAACGAAAGGTGGCCTTGAATCAATTAAAAGGTGCTCCCCCTCGTTCCCCCTCTCCCCTTCCCCTTCTCTCTTTTCTCCTCTTTCTTGCCTTCCTAATATTAGCTTAGTCACGATGCACGTCGATTAATAAGCGTATAAGTACAACCATCACTGATATGGTAAGTTAATAGAATATTTTATTTATAATTTGACGAATTTATAACTAACTGTGGTAATTAGAAAGCTGAAAATCGTTAAAATAAAAGTTTTGGCTTATTAAAGAAATTACTGATAATGGAACTGATAACGTTGGAAGATAAGTGGAGCGGTGTTTCCGATGGCACATGACACAGTAATATAATAGTCATGCGGTAATATTACTGTATTTATAGAATTTCTTTGGAGCATAAAAGGTCAAATTTGAAAGTCTAGTTGCACTGCAAGATTACTTTTAGATTTTCCACTCTGAAAAAAGAAGAAAAAATATAATATGGTAAATCCAACGATAAGCATATAGCAAGCATTATTAAGATATGGTCTTAAATATACTTCTTCTTCTGGCAATCATTTCTAATTTGCTTGGCTCAATTTGCCGTCGGTCACCAGTTGCCAAAGAATCATTTGGAGATAAAAATACAGGTGGCCTTTGGTACCACTTGAGCTTGATGCATAGGCAAATGAACCATTTAAAGTTTGAGAAGAATTAAAATAGTTAACCAAGTTGACAGATTCGATTCTCATGCAATGATTTTCAGTGAAAATGGAAAGCTTCCAGTTATCGTGCTGATGGAAGATGTCAGAAATTCTCTAAATTGTTTCGTTTTTTACTGATCGATTTTATAGTTAATTGGCACATGAATTATTCACTTATTTATTTACCAAATCTTTCAATATCAACTTATTTTGTTGTGTTAGTATTAAGTAAATGGCTACCACTTTTAGTTTGGCTAGGTTTCTCGGTTTTTAGAAATTTTTGCGAGGGAATCACTTGGCAATAGAGGACGATAGGTGGATCGCCAGCAGCACAGAAATTTTTTAATGGCAAGTTTGCTGGTGGCGAAGTAAGTAACCGATGCGCCCTATTCGAACACTCGACTATCCTTGTCTTATTCGATTAAAAATATTATTCGAATAAGTAGTGCGAATATTATTAAATATTTTAAGTAATCAAGTATTAAGTGTATTTTAAGTATGTTTTAAGTAATTTTAAGCAATCATAAACCAGAATCATTATGGATTCTGAAATTTTTTGTTTTTTTAATCTGTTATTATTATTAATATTCAGTTTAACTCATCGTCTTAGTATTCACTAATTGTCCATCATTAGGAATTAACTCCAATTTCTCTATTCTATTAATTATATTTTTCTTCTGACCTTTGAACCGAAAAAATAAGAAAATTGCGTAAATATAGGTGAATTACAGCTGTTGCTTACGTTTTTTCGCTATGAATGGAAATATTATAGAGCATTAAATTATTATTATTATTATTACATATGCCATTCTGTTTTTGATCCACCGATTGAAAATTTTCGTAAAAATTAATATTTTATTTAGGCTGATTATTAATTACGACAAGATTAATCGGAATAAAATAGAATTATATAATAAAATAAAATAGAAGAGAATTGAAAAGAGAAAAATTGAAAAGAAAAAATTAAATATTTATGAAAATTAAATAAAAATATAAGAGAAAATTAAATTAAATATAAAAATTTGTGAATATATCAGATTTTAGAGCTCACCATCATTTGATTAGATTCTGATTCTGGCTAGGCTATTTATACGGTTGCTTTTGGCAGAAATTCATGTGGTAATGGAAGTATAGATGGATTGCCAGGACCACTCGAATTTTTTAATGATATTCCTGTAAGGAATAGAATCCGAACTTTCGTCTCTTAACACAAAAATCTGCTGGATGATAATTTAAATTTCGATAAAATTTGATAGGTATTTGCTTTGCTATATATGTTTGCTAAATTTAAAAATTTTCATCGTTCATTGAATTTCAGATATAGAGATTCGGAACTCTTAATGCACAATTATTTTGGTCGCATTATCTTCATAAGCAATAACAAAAAAATAGGTGCTTGTTATTTCCAATTTAATGAGCTTTTTTTCAATAGTAACGGTAATAGTAATAGACAATATTTTTAAAGTTCCAACTAAAATTTTGAGAATGTTGAGTAAATGCAAACTTCAATGCAAACTTAATGCCAATGTTCGATTATCGTGTTTAGAGGCATGAGTTCAGTTTATGGATTCGATTCCTTGCTTGAAATAGGAGTAACCCTATCATTAAAAATGCTGGATGGTACTGATGGTTCACCTGTATTTCCACTGCCAAATGATAGCTTCTTTCAAAAATTTTGCATTTTTCTAGTATCCAGTGGAGAAAACCAAGGCTCATTGACTAAATGTAACAGGCCATTAATTACCTGAACAAGCATTTTTATATTTTATTCAAGCATTCTGGCAAACAATCAAACTAATTTACTGTTCGGAATTCGGATGAAAAACAAAATTGTACCGTGCTGACCTTCAAATTTCTCAATGAGCTACAGATGGTTACCGTATTTCAGCCAAAGTTGTCTTAAAGCTTTGGTAATAAGTCTCTCTTACCTTTTATTTATTTGTCCTTCATATGTTATATAACTGATCAATTTCATGGAGAAATCTGGGAAATGAGTTGTAAATAGAATTATCCTGTTATCTCCAATATAAGAGATTTTTATACCCATATTTTTATAATTTATTAAATTTTTGAGTAAATGATTAGTGCTTGTCATTTCTGCTTGGACCAATTCTGCTGGTTGCTGGTTAGAAATTTTTAGAGGTCGGCGATAGAATTGTGGGTGGATCGGCAAGATAGCTCAGATTTTTTTCCTGTTGAGGCTAATAGCAAAGTTCTTACCACTCAACGCGATATTCTATCACTATCCACTTGGCTACCTTGTCCCTATTAAATTTGATCCGTTAAAAATTTTTAGAAAATTTTGTAAAATTTATATGATGTTATTTATAACATTACATTCGCGAGTGTTGTGGTTGGTTAATTTATTACATTTATATATAATAGAATGTTCTTTTAGAATGTTCGGAAAAGTGTACCTTCTGATTGTTGGGCCTACTATAATATGGTTTTTAGACTCTTTGATTCCATATTTGCCTTTCAGTTTGGTGGAACTTATAGACTGCTCTCTAAAGTGCTTTGAAATAAATAAAAGTAAAATGCAAATGGAAAAGTGAATTAAAAATTTCAGCGATATCTACTGATGATAGAATCATAATACTCCAGTTGTGATTTTTATCTACCTTAAAGGAAGTATTATAAATTTTAATTAAGAGATGAAAATAAGAATAGAAATTCTTCACTCAACTTCACAGATTTCCAAAGGTTATATAGATCTTAGATTAGATTAAAACTTTCCACTAGAGCCGTGGAATTTGTAGGATTAGAAAATGTGGAATTAATCCCTGGGTTATGTAGTCACTTAATAACTAACTAAAAATTTAGATGTGGATAATTGCTTTCGTCGCGTTCCATTTCTCTCTCCAATACTCGCAAAAGAATTTAACAATAGAATAATTCGCTTCATTTTCTTAAAAAATTATATTTACTTAAAAATATTCATTCATTGCAAATAACAACCAGCATCTGCCATTCGTACCATTTAATTCATATTAAAATTTTCCAACCTGTTCAAACTTTTCTACTTTATTGTCAAGCAAATTTGTCTTAATCTGAATCGAATCTTAACTGATTTTTAGACAGATATTTCGGAAAGGTTTGAGGATTTATTGGTAGAATCAAAAATAATATTGATGGCTCATTGATTATATCGCATTTCAGTTCATGCATCAACCACTGATCGACAAATCTGATTTAATGATCTATGGAATTGAGTCTGATGAATACTTGGATATTAGCAGTATTGAACCGTCGATATTAACTATTTCGCAACCAGAAAATGATTTATTTTTAAATAATAAAGATTCAACCAGCAGAATTCATATAAAATCTAAACAGCGAGAGAAACACCAGAAAAGAAGGCAAATCAAAAAATCCACTTGGCCAAAAAAGTACTAATTGCAAATTGGCTTGGATATTTATGCCAGATTTATTTATTACTTATTTATTATTAATTCCCTGACAGTTACAAATATTTTTCACCTACTTTTTGTACCCATAGCAATTATCAGGTAGTAGTGCTAAAGAAATTAATTTTAGGCCAGTGTCTGCATATGCTCTCTTCTTTCACGACCATCAAGGGTTAATTAAAAACGAAAATCCGAAGGCAACTTTTGGAGAAATTTCAAAAAGCATTGCTTCATTGTGGGATAATCTTGACAATTTAACAAAAAAAGTTCGTTTAGTGGAATTCTATTTTTATTATTTTTTTTATTCTATTTTTATTTTTAGAATTATATTTTTATAAAGAATCATCCAGCAGAAAAATATAATTCTGGAAGAAAAATATAAAAATGAAACATTTGTCTTTTCAGAAATATAAAGAACGAACTGAACAAGCTAAACGTGATTACTTAAAAAGAATAGCAGTTTGTCGAGCAAATCAAGTATCTCAGGTAAGTTACTTATTAATTTTTAACCAATTTTTCAATAAAATGAGCCAAAACATTATAGCCAAATATTTTCATCTTATTCAATTGATGTGCAAATTAATAAAAATTGTAGGATGGTTCAATTGTTTCCGAAAAAGAAGCGCAATAAAAGGAATTAAGACTTAAATAAATAAATAAAAAATATTAAAAAAGGAAGGAATCTAAAAAAATTCATTTCAAAATTTGAATGTGGAGTCAGAAAAATCGCAAGGTCATCTGAATCTGCACCCAAAATTCTGGATTTTATCAGTTTTTTAAAGCATTATTATTTGATTTAAAAAATTGCATGAAAGTGGTTTGATGGTTAAATTTGAAGCTATTTATTCTGCTATTTATTATTCATGTCTTTTTGCCAAATTTTGCATAAAATTTGATTTTCTTTTGATTTCCTTCTTGCTTATATTTCTTTAATCGTTCCTTTAAATTGAAATTGTTATGGTCGATTTTCTTCTCTACAATCGTTTGATTAGTTGGTGTTATTAATGAAGTGAGGTTCTACGAAAATTTCTTATCGTAATAATAGCCAGCAGATCGCACTGCCAGAAATAGGGTTAACCATCTGAATACTTAATTAATAATATGTGTTAGAAAAAGAGCCTTAAATTTAGATGGTTCATTAAATATTAAATATTATTTATGATACGTCAAAAAATTATGGAGACATTTTTACTTTCTTTCTATTTTATTTTCTCATTATTTTTGCCTTTGATGATTTATTTTTACGGTATGTGATGAAGCAAAAGGTTTAAAATCATCAATTGTATTTTTTAAAATTTCCATTTTAAAAAATTTAATGATGAATAAAATTTTTTTTCCATTTTCACAATCATTGACACAAGAAATCGGTTATTTTTTCCACTAATTCTGGCTAATTATTTTCATTAAAAATGGCTAACGAATCATCTAAGGTATATTTTGATTAAATCGGAAGTCTTTAATTCTGTAACGGAAATAGATTCCAGTAGTTGAGGCTATCTGATATTTTAGATTGCATTCAGCTATGAATCGAAGTGGCGACGGATTTCCTCAGATTTTTTGCACTCGTCGAAGGGGATGAAAAGAACTCTCGGTGCTTGAATTCATAGCTAAAGTGACATGCCACAAATTAATCAAGAAAAATATGCTTCCTTTTTCAAAATATTTTAAGACAAATTATATCATTTTTTATATTGTTTTAGCAAGAGAGTCATATTAAAATATTGCAGATGCAACCCACTGTCGAAAGAAATGATTTTTCAATTCTTTACAGTCAAAAATTTGCCTATTTAAGCAATATTACAGGTTATATTACTTGATCTGGAATTTGAAGCTGAATCATCCAAATCGTTTAACCCTTTCTCACTAATAGTTGAATTAATATCCATATTATTTGCTGCAATAATTTGTTTGATTATATATTACAAATTTCGCTCAAAATGCTCCAGAATTTCATATCATCCTAGCTTTCATGATCTCAGACATAAAGTGGAATATGATGCTCAACTTGACGAATTTTTAAGGGCTCAAGATGAATATTCAGGATATTCTGAAAGAATTTATTAATCATTTAAAACATGATATTTGTATACGGTTTATAAAATTAAAACATAAAATAATTCGAAATAAACGATTTTATAACACTTTTTCATAAATCCAAAAATGATGGAATTCTAAAAAATGGTAGAAATGGCAATTGCCAAAATTTACCTATAAGCTATATAAAGATTCTTTATCTTGAAATCGCATTATTATATTTTTCACCGCTTATCCTTTTTGAAAAAATTCAAAATTTTCTTATTGCAATCGTAAACACCATACCTTTCTGACTTCTCTCCAAATAATGTAGTTGCTTTATTCAGATAATAATCAGCATCTGATCTCCTATCAATCTCTATGTTGGTTTTCTGTTTTACTTTACGATTTTGCCATTTTTCATTCACTTGATAACTAGATTCAGAAGTTGCCATTTCTGTGAATAGGAATCCATTGGCACTGGGGAATATGGTGGAGCTTACACCAGTATTAGTAGGATAAATTGTGGCTGTCATATATATTTGCCTTGAATTCCCATTTATTACATCTTGGTATTTTGATGCTTCATAATCGTTGGCTTGGCCTTGCGAATTCAGTAACTTAGAACAATTTGTATTATTAGTAGCATCAATTCTGATATAATTCCAACCTTTTTCATACTTCTTCTCAGCAATATCCGTCACAAATAGATCATCCCTTTTTATCTCTTCAGCTGCTAATTTTTCATAACGCTTCTTGATAATGAAAGCTGCTCTTTTCGTCTGCCTTGTTCGAGTTAAAACACCTTTGTGATTGCCAACAGCTCGAGTAATATCTATTAAACATAATTCTGATTTAAAGTTTCAGCAATTCGATCCTTTTATTACGAATAATTTTAATCTTTTGTTTTTTAAATATATCAAAATGACGAAGACAAATTGAAAGCTCTTATAAAAGCCAATTGGCATTTGCATACATGAATTTCTTATAATCTTATAATATAACTAAGTACTTCATTTAAATTTCTTAATAATAATTTTTAATAACCCAAAATTGATAGATTTTAAAAATTTTAATTTTTCCATAATTTTTACAAAATTTCAACCTTGAGCTGTCATAAAATCTGCAAAATTCCAAATCATCTCCCCGGCAATCATTTTATTCTTTCGAAGTTCATCGAATGCTTCGTGTGTTTTTTTCAACACCTCGACATGGTATTCTTCACTAAAATCTCGCCCAGGTGCCTTAAATTTGCATAAAAAGTAGTAAAAATTACTTTCAACCACTTTCTATAAATTCCATCGAGCTATCGCTTATATTCAGGCAAAATTCATTATATTTAAAGTATGGATTGTGATATATAAAGTATGGATAACTAAATACTTCATTTAAATTTCATCTCACTATCCTAAAAATTGGACGATGAATAAGATTTATTGTGAGTACTTGGTTTAGTCCAGGTAATGATTCAGCACCATATTCAGTAACCACAACTGGTTTACCAAAATTTTCTTGCCAGTTCTTTACATCAAATATCCAACTACCTTTAACCGTTTCCGGATAACCAATATCAATATACCAACCATAATATCGATTAATGCAAATTACATCAACCAAATCAGCCTGTGATATTTTTCAATTACGTGCCCTCATAGTGACTTTTTTCCGAAAATGTAGCTCGAACAAAATCATTTGATGATAAAAATAAGTGGGTTTCTTGTATAAAATTGAAATATTTATTATTGAGAAATTTAAAAAATATTGCACAAACTACCACTCGGTCTTCGTTATAGGGCATTGAGAAAGCAAGTGTAACTGGACGAGTCCTGTCCAAAGTTCTCGTCAAATTAATCAAATCACTAAAAAATATTTCGAAAAAAATACGTCTTATTTAGTTTTAAAATAGATGAAAAAAAGAATTTTGATTTTGCCAGACTAGAATTAGGTTGAAAACGTTTCGACAACACATTAAATTGAGTGTACAGCGATTTTTAAATTCTTAAATTCTTAAAGCTACCTTTGCCGTTGTTAGCCAAATTTCTTAAAATTTATAGAATGGAAACCTAAAATATTGACGAGCATTTGGATAACTGGATTTTGGTTCGTTCGCTATTGACCACATAATCACAGATGGGTGATTCTTGTCTCGCTCAATCATCTCATTAATCATTTTTGAATGCAGTAAGAGATTATTCGTCGTAAAAATTCTAAAAACACCTTGCTGGAAAAAAATTCATTCCAACGACTTTCTTCAATGATAGTATAAAAATTTTCTCATGCCACTGATTTAAATAAAGGTGATTTGGCTAATTATCCGAAGCTAAGTATTACTTATATAGGCCTAATACAGTTAATTGTCCTTAAAGGCTCTAGGATAGAATATATGCACCCTTATTTGCTGTTTAGCTGTCCTAAATTTGAACTTCAGAAATACTACTATCAAAAGTTATCAATAAAAGATGCAATAAATGCATAATTCTAACGATAATCCTACGGCTGGTACTTCCACAACTACAGCGATGCCTCTACGATCTGATTCCTGAATTCGCTCTTCACTATAGGGATAATGTGAAGTTCGATAGCAATTGCCTGACATCCACTCCAACATATTTAAGTCTCTTATCATTACAACTGGATTATAACCTCGACCATGCAACTGAAATTTTTTGACAAGCGCATTAAGCGCATTTTAATAAAATAACATCATAAGCTCACTAATCCAATTGATTACTGATAAAAAACGTGAATAAATAAATGGTTGATCACCCACCATTTTTAGCTTTCTAGGTTCGGTCCACTATTATGGTGAAATAATTTTGTAGGTAGGATTAGTATAGGTAGGTCCAGTATCACCAGAACTTTTCCTTATAGCTTTATTCTTACAGCGGTCAGGTTTGGTAGAAGAATGCTCTACATGATAATCAAAGCCACAAAGGCTCTGCTATTCGAATTCGATTAAGGATATAATAAGCTTATCAATCTATCGGTCTTAATACTGCCAGAATTGAGAAAAAAATAAAACCTCGAAATCCTCATGCATTCCAAAACCACGACAATAAAACGGCTTATTGTTTATAAAAATTTGATTCGATGAGAAGTTCACTGTTCGAAAGCCAAAATTCAAGCGATATGTGTCGGTTACTACCTCGTTTACAAGAAGTATAACCTAAATGTATTAACCTATCATGCAAAATATTGCACGAAAATATTATCACTGCGTCATTTCGAACCAATGATTAGTGTGAATTTCTTCACAAGAAATGGAAATGGAAAACGAAAAAAAAAATACCGAAAAAACATAATCATTTCGACCATTAAATAATATTTTTATGAATGATTTTGAAAAAAATTTGCAAAATGGATTATCATTTAGTCAAGTTTTATTACATTTTTTAAGTCATGAAATAGCACCTAAAGCCAATATTTTTATCATTTTAGCATTTTTGAAAATAATCTCAATTCCTGGGATGATCCTGGAATGACAATTTCGAAGTTTAACCTCCATTGTGTACAATGTTGGTGTCCCGAGTCCGTTTGGCCACCATGGATGAATTTCAAGCAATCGACTTCGAAAGTAAGTGCCGTGATTCCTCGCTATTATTATTCTGTTATCATTACGAATATTCACAAGAACAGTACAATTGCTTTCAGCAGTGGTTACAAATATTTTATATTCCAGAGATCCTAAATTTTGTATCAGTAGCGCTCCAATTGTAAAAAACAGTTTGCCAAAAATACAAAAATTTAAGATGAAGCATTTATTATTTATTATTATTATTTATTATTATTTGTTATTATTTGTCTTTATTATTTATTATTTGCCTTTGTCAATCTTCCAGTATTAATATCATCTATGATTCGAACAAATGATTTTGCTAATCGCGAACGCTTTTGCTTTTTATATTTTCTCCACCATTTTCTGAATTTTAAACATTTTTTCACTATATAAAGTATGAAATGCGAAATAGCAGCGCCACTAAATTTATGTAAATTTCGCAGCAAATAAATTTGTGCAAAATACAAAAATTGAGAAGTAAAACAAAAATAGATAAAAAAGTGAGAAATAATTGGCAGAGATATTCGTAAAGACTCCAAATTATTATAAAACTGATCATGGTACAATGATTTTTTCCGATTTTGCAGTCGAAATGCTTTTCCTATCAATCATGCAAAATAAAAAGTCGAGATTTCTAAAAAGTTGATGCCCAATAATTTTTCATGCAATAGGTTTAGTAAAGTTAAAAATTTTTTGCTTGCTAAGCAGAATCATTTCTGTCAATTTACTAAGAGTAAATTGGTCATTAAAAGTGGAATCCGGATAATCCGGACCTTCTACCTTTAATTTTAGCAACTCTGTAAGATTTCATAATAGCAGTTAATATAGCCAGTCAAGCAAGAAATAATGCATTTCATTATAAATTTTAAAATTGCCAACCATCCATTTCTGCGTTAACCACAATATCATTGATATAAGATAAAGGCTTCTTCGTTAAGTACACTGATCGAAGTATGCCAGCGTAATTGAAGAAATCGAAATTAGGTGTTTGTTTGAAGAAACTGAAATATCGCATATTTCTCACTTATGATAACTACTATTCTTTAAATTTGGATCATGACTCCAATAGAAATAAATAATTTTACTGGTGAACTGCCTTCAAACAATCGAAGTGGTGCAAGTTACTATTTTGTGCTTCTATTTCCAGATAATTTCCTGACAAAAATTTCTAGCTGCCATCAACGAGCGGAGTAAGTAAAAACTAGAAAGAGCACTAAGTTCTCACTCACTTTTATTCCTTGTGTTAAACTGTTAAATTAATGGAGTGGAACCAATGTTAACAAAATTAAAGGTTAAAAAATGATTAATAGTTTGAAAATGCACTTGTTATAAGAATGTAAATGAAATTTCATTGATAATAAATCAATAAACTGGAAAAAATAACCCTTCGGGATATTGTTTCCTCCCACTCCGTTCCCTTTGTAAATAAACAAATTCACCAGGTGGTATACTTTGATGTGATAATGTATTATTGACTGCAACAGTTATGCAATTTTCTAGTCCAAATAACAAACTATTAGTAATTTCAAACTCAAATGGAAGATGACCACCAGTATGTTCACCAACTAATCTGTTGTTCAAAAACTGCAAGTAGTGGTTTATTATTATTATTTTTGGCATTAACTTGAGCCTAGAATTCCTGGGTGAATGGAACTAAAAAATTTAGAGCACCTCGTTTGTCTTCTAACCGACTCAAATCCCATTGACAAAATTGGACCAATAACGCCTGAGCTCAGTTGAAATAGACCAATTATTATATATAGACCATATATTTCCAATTCATTTTAAATTTTAAGGCGATAGAAACTTATTCAAATAGAAAATAGAAATGAAATTCTTACCACAACAGCGTAATAGTTAACACTCGAGAATCGCAGAAAAATTTTATATAATTGATCTCGTTTACTGCTATAGAATTTTCGTTGATACCATACCCATCCCACATGATCGCGAACTTCCCGATGTGCACTCAGATCGTTAAAGGCTGATGGTACTGGCATTACTGTAGCATTCTAAAATCCATTTTTAGCCTTTTAATATTATCAACGTTAGTCACTGAAATAGCCACTGATAATTTCTAACATAATTTTGTAGGATTATAGGACTTTTTTCAAGATAGCCATTTCACCTTCATTTTAGAAAGCTCATAAAGGTGCCATTTTCGTAAAAAGCCGATACCAATTGAATTCTGTGGCTCCATGACAAAGGTCCAAATACCATCAAGTTGTTCGAAAAATCGGTGTTCATTTTGCTGAAAGTTTCTCGAATCACAGCATATCCTTGATATTAATCTCGGTATTTTTAAAAACCAATAAAATCATTTAAACAAAAGCTGGGATTGTATTCTTTTTACGGAGCAAAATTGCATGAAATCGTGTTGTATCAATAAGTAAGGATTATAATTTCTTGAATTCTTGTAAATAATATAAAACATCAGTTAAAGGTCCAAATAGATTATCTTACACTTGCAATTTTCAAAATTTCAATTATTTCAGCAGTATATAAAAATAATTGAATCGTGTAAATTACCTGCACATAAAGTATACATAAAACTTGAATAAATGTACATGATATCACAGCTACGATTGTCAGCCAGCACATTACTAAAATTAATCTGTGAATAAACAGAAGTTTTCAACTAAATTAATAACTGGTGTTAAGGAAAAACATTGCATTTGAACGTGTTGTACAAGAATATAGCCGGCATGTAAATAAGAGCTATGCTTTATTTGCTGTTAACTCAATGAATTTTAATTCAGAACCAGTTTTGTAGAAAATTTGAACCATTTTTATATCTGTATGTGGTAAATCTAAGCAAAACGGCGGCAAAGGTCAGTGCAAAAGTGAAGCCAAATTATAAGTTTTTATTGAGGACAATAGGATAGCTAAATCTATCCTTTATAAATAAAATGGTTATTCGGAACCCAATTCACATTAGATTTAGGCAAAAATATTAAATATTTTGGAAAGTTTTAAATGAACTGGTGGTATTTGGAAAAAAAATAACCCGCTTATCATTTATAAAGTATCATGAATCACGAATTATTCACGATCACGAATTATTTCTCCAATTCTTAAATTATAATGAACCAAGAAGATTAGTAATACATATTATATTATCTGAGTGACAGTGCTTGAGGAAATAACCCAGTATATTATCATCAATTCATAAACTTGTTATTTATTACTTTAATTTAATATTTAAATTCTGCAATTAATGGTATGGGATAGAACGGCTCAGTGAGTTGTTGCTCAATTAGGATTGCCGATGCTGGGGTTCGATTCCCTGCAGAGGTGAACCTGCACAAAAATCCGGGTGATGCTTGCGACTCCTCTATTTCTATCTACCTGTATTTCTACATGTATTTCAAGAGACTCTCTAGAGTAATGCCCAATTGTGACAAGCCAGTGGAGCGAGTTTAACCAGTAATGGTGAGAATTATTTTAAAAAAAAATTTGAGCAATAAACAGTTTGATTTAATTTTAAAAATTTTAAATTTTATTCCTCATCTTAATTTTTTTTTGATTTGAATGCTAATGCTAATGAGTGCTTCTTCTTCTTCTAACAGCTCAAACCATCACTGGTTAAGCCGGTTACAAGGGTATAACGTCTCCAAGCTGCTCGGTCTAATGCCATTGCTAGTGATAATAGAAACCATTCCTTTTTCCACCGTCTAAGACCATATATCATTGGTCCCCCCTTACATTCAAAATCTTCCCAGGCTGTATTAGTCCAGGTTTTGATTGACAGGTGGTATTTGAGAGAAGATGGATACAATCATGTGCGATTTTTATCAGCTCGACGGATCCTAGACATGAATGGCCAAAGGCTGATAACTTCTTAATATCTTCCACTCTCATTGGCCATGTTTCGCAACCATTTAGCACGATCGAGCGAAGTGCAGCGATATGGACGCAGATTTTTTTAGTTATGGTGATTCGCGTTGGTTCCATAAAGGTTCCATCAACTGGAAAAGCATATTTCTAATTGTCGTTATCCGGGTTATAATTTCTTTCTTTGCTTGGCCTTTTGGGAATAGAGTTAATTCAAGATATTTAAAATCGGATACTTCCTCAACTTGAATTGATAAAAATAGATATTTTATCAGCATCTAGGTATTATTATTATTATATAAGTCGAAAACACTTTCGTTTTATTTACATTGATTTTGAGCACAATTCTCGCTGCAGTTGTTGACATATTGTTTACTTTCATTTCATTAAATTATCAGCACAGATGACTACAACATCAGCTATTCAAGATCTATGATGCTATGCTCTGGACTGATTTGCGCATCTCTTGGGTGTCGATAAGCGATGCCATTATCCAGTCTATCGCATAGTTGAATATTGTAGGGGAAAGGACGCAGCCTTGACGAACACCAGTTTTTATTTCGAAAGGAGTTTATCAGTTTCCCATATACACAGACCCATGCCAGAGTATGATCTTCTCTGAAACACGGTTAAATTCCATCACTTTCAAGAGCGCTACTCTATCAATCGAATTGAAGACAGCTACAAAATCGATAAAGCAATTGATTGCTGGCATTTGAAGCAATGTTCCACACCCTTCTTATCGTAAATATCTGGTCAGCACAACGCGTTCCAGTCTGAACCCAGCTTAATTAGGACGCATCTTGTTGTCATGAGTCTATTTTTTAACAGAAGGGAAGTGAAAAATTTTCCGGAGATGTCCATTAGACTGATTTCTCAGTAATTGTCGCAGTAATTGTCGTTCTGTCTCCTTTCTTAGGAATCGGAAGCATAATTGCTTTGCTCCAGTCTTCTGAATTATTTCTTTATTTTGCCGTATTATTATTATTTCTTCCAGTCTTAAGTATTATTTCTTTTTGTCGTACCAGAAAATATATTCGTTTGAGTCATGAGCGAGTGAAAAAATGGGCAACATTCGAAGAGTTCGTGCCGAAGACCATCTTCTGCAGAAGTTTTATTGTTTTACGGATTATAGAAATTATTGCCTCTTCTGTTTGCGGTTCGTTGTTGTAAACGTATGGCTCGACGGGCGAATTAGTTATAACAGATGGCCCAAGGTGGTTAAGTAATTAGGAAAGAATTAGGAAAGAATTTTAAAGAGTTTTAAGTGATAAAGGAAATAATTTTTTGGCCTCAAAAAATTCTTTCCTTCTTCTGAGGCGATCCTTAATAGCTTTAATAGGCACCCCATTAATATTCCGAATCATTTCACTAAGCTTGTCGAGTTATAGAGTTATTGCTTTATGAAGAAGGTGAAACAGTTACCAATTATCAATTATCCCAATCTCCGTCTCCATTTTCAAGGCCATATTGCTCCAATAGCGCTTTCTGACCCGCAGTGCTGCTGTCGTTGTAGTTCTTCGAAACATCCGGCAATCAAATTCTCCTGACATTCGGGCAGTTTTTTGAGACAGTTGGACAATTGCTTTCGGCACCCAAATAGCACACTTTCTACTAGTATATCCTAGTATGGAAGTGGCTAGTTTTTTTAAGCATATCTTTAGTTGAAACCAGTATTCATTCATCATTCCAGAGATATCATTGACGTTCATTTCACTGAGGTGTTTTAATAATATGGTTTACTGTCTCCGGATCTTTTAGTTTATTATTGAAAGATCTTGAGTTACGACTTACGACTTGAGTTTTATACGAATTTTTGCGCGAACTATAACAGGGTCTGATCCATGGCAATTACCTGTTTCAGCGCCGATAAAACGACTATCAAATAAAAAACTCATCCAGCTGTGACCGACCAATAAATAGTCAATCTGATTGGAATATTTTTTATCCGAGAATTCCATGTGACTAAATGACCAATGACGAAAGCATGTATTAGCAACAAAGAGTTCATGCTGTTCTGCAAAACGAAGGCGTTCTCCATTGGCACATTGGATGCCGATGCCGTATTTACCAATTATCGAATTCGTAAAGGCATCATCACCTATGCACGCATTTCAGTCTTCCCTGACTATGTCCGTGTTTCTTCTCGATAGAGATATTAACTCGGTAGAGATATTGAAGCGCCACATAAAATTTATCCTTATAGCAACCATCACATAAAATTGGAGTTTATACTTTGATGATCGAATTATTACAGAACTTTCTTTTGAAACGCGTCTAGGCCATGCGATCATTTACTGCTTTCTATTCGATCACAGCGGATCGAGCCTTTTAAGACATGACCATCGCTACGCCATTTCTTCCCGAACTCTCTGAGACACCACAGTGATATTGCCAATATCTTTACTTGGAACCAGATTTAATTACTCGAGAGCCGACATGAGGAAGGATTTCCGACAAACAAGCCATATCCATGCAGTATTTAGAAAGAGTGTGGACAATGATCGCTTGACTTGCAACACATAAGCGTTCTGACGTAGCTATAGCCAGCACCTCACCGTGCTTACAAAGCGGATAGGTTCTCGCCTCTCTTCACGAATTTTAAGTAACTATCCCGGATTGCGAGCAAATTCTAGGCTTGCTCCTTGCAATTTTATTATTATTATTATTATCATTACCATTATTATTTATTATTAATATTATTATATTATTACGCCCAGATCGTATATTTATCGTATGTACCACCGAGTCAGAAATATCATATGGAATAGGCGAACATCATGTCAAAGAGATTTGATCTTTTCACCATAGAGTCATTTGGGGAGATACAGATAAGTTCCCAGCAGCCACTCGGATTTTCGACACCATGAAAGGTTTACTCTTGTCAAGACAAAAAATAGAAATAATTAAATTTAAAAAGAAAAATTTAAAGATAATTAAAAGAATAAAAATTTTAAGAAAAAACTTGTCGGATTCACAGAAGAATGTAATAATATTACGTAATAATAGTAAATAATCATTAAAATTATTAAGCTAATAATATAATAATCAAGTAACAAATATATTTTATTAATTTGCTGATTAATGAGCTAAGTATCTTTTCCTCACAACCGTTCATAGTACTATTATTCTGATAGCCGCGGGTGGTGCTGGCGATTCACTTCAGTATTTCTATCGCCAAGGGACTCCATGGCATATTGCCCAATGCGACAAGCCAGTGGAGCGAGTTTTACCAGCAATGGTAATGGTTTAAAAAAAAAATTCTGATATAGTATTATGATAATCTGTGCTTAAAAATCATAAAAACTTTTCATTTTTAATTTTTTCTTTCTCCTATTTCCAATTTAGATTTCTTAAATAAATCGAACATAATTCTCTTCTTAAATACTCACCTATTTATTTACTTACTTTAATCTACGCATGTAAAATTATGATATTGATTTTTTGGAGCGAACAACGCCACTGATAAGCTTTATCACGATAATACACAACTTAAATCAACAAATTAAGAGAACGAAATTTTATTTAAAAGATTCTCAATTATAATTGAAAGCCTTTTTTTAATAAAAAAAATTACACAACTATAAATTATCGAAAAATTTATAATTCATTATTGATAAGAATTCATTATATTTATTGATTAATTAATTATTAATTTATTAATTCTTTGAATTTATTGTTTTTTTAGATGGACTTTAAAAAAATTTTCTAGCAAATATTCTAAATTTTTTGTCAAATTTACGAGCGCTACCTAGTATTTTCATATGAAATGTGAATAAACGATACTAATTGTTATTGTATAAAAAAGATATGTAAAATTATAAAAAATTATAAAATTGGGCCAAAAACTTAGATTAAATTTATTAAATTTATTCAGAAATTTATTAAATTTATTCAGAAGAGAAAAGAAAAAGAATAGGGAGAAAAAAATGCTGATGAGGGGCGAAAATAAAATAAAACGAATTGATATGGCAGTTAAGGATAAAAAAAAAGATATTAAGATTAACAGATTATGTAGAAACCAATCATTTTTCATCTAATGCAGAGGGATTATGAGAGTGTGCGAGTATATTATCAGTGATTAAGAATGATAAATAAAATAAACGATATCTCATTAAAAAACTTAAGGAAAAAAAACTCAAATTGGGTTTCTTAAAAAAGAGATATTGGAAGCTATGATTAAACCAATTCAGGAAATAGGTGAAATTGTTGAATAAGAGTAGAACAAATTAAATTAAACAAAGCAAATTAAAAATAAAGTAATTATATTACTTATGAGCACCTAAATCACCAGAAAATTTTACAATAAAAGATTTATTACCGGCAGAGCTCTCTCTAACGTAGGATTCGGCATTTCTTATCACAAAAACCCTCGAAATGAATCACATAAGACAATGTTTCTTTTATTTGTTCCTCAAATGTTAATGAACTATGCCATTTATAACAAAAAACCATAGTAGATATTTTCACCATTATCATCTAAGATGCTCTCATTATCCTATTTCATTATTTATATTTACAGTTACATTTAAAATTATCATTTAAAACAATAGAAGAGGGCCTTTGGTTAATAATTTAAAAATATTTTTTGGATAAATTGTAGGTAAATTTATGACTTTTTTATAATAAACAGAAGAATAATCAGCAACAATGAAAGCTCAGAGAAAACACCAAAAAAATGCAAGCAATAATTATAAAATAATAAAATAAAATAAAATTACCAATTAAAAATACTTTTTATTATAGAAATGATTGCTGGCTCAACTGTATTCAATGGAAAATTGTGGCAAAATTGCACCAAATAAATGAAAATTTACAATATTTCGAAAAAAAAAACTATTCTGTCCTAATTGAGTCTTTACTACTTCCAAATATTCGTTGATTTTGAATGATCCCCAGAAATATTTTTTTCTCATGAAATTTTTAAAAAATTTGCCGAATGGTTAATCGAAATCAGCTTTCGCACAGTTTATCCCGCATGCACTTTTCAAAAGGTCGACTATCCATGAATTTCAGTTTATCAATAATGAAAACAAATCTGTTTCGCAGAAGGAAGAATTAAAACACTGGCAAATAATAAGTGACTAATAAATCACCGAATAATTAAGCACATCAATATATTTTATCATCGTCATCACATAAGAAGAAAAAAGAAAAGTACACCGGATTCAAGATACACGGAGAATATCAAAAAATTCAAATTGACAAATAATTACTAAATGTCGACATCATAAATTAAATACATATATACTTATACAATTATAAGTAAAGATTCGATTTAATTAAGATTTCTAAAAAAGCTTTTTTATTAAAATTTGCAAAATCTCGAGCACAATAAAAAAAATGGGATAACTGGTGGTTAACGAATAGTTCCAGATTTTTGGTGATATATTTCTTATTTAGAAAAAACAATCTATTTGCGGATTTTATATAAGAAATTTCTTTGAAGAATAAATGACCTGCCTAAGTATCTATTTATTTATTATAACTTGTCTTATGTGTTGAAATTAGAAGGGTGCGAAAAATTCGTATTTTGAGATGTTTGGTAATTGTTCAGTCAGGCATCAGTCATTTTTTTGCAGAAGCATAGCTGGTGAACAAGGTGTCATACTAGCCGTAATATTAAGGTGCAATTTGAGATGATGTTCTAGTTCTTGAGGTGTGGCGCAAATTTTCTGGCAAACCGAGCACACCGTCTTCCACATCCATACCATCGCGTCCATTTGATTATTTGTAGATGTATTCGGAGGTAATAACGGTAAAGGAAATGGTAGAACTGGGAACGGCGTAGCTGTATTGTGATTCGCTTCAGCAAATGATGTTCGAATTGTTGGTTCAAATGGCAGACGAATTGGCGACTCTGAAGTAGAAGAAAGAGGTGATAATACCTCAGGTCGAATCATACCTTCACCACCAAATTCGAATATTCGCCTACCGCGTCTTGATGGATTCTGTTGCCACATATGAGTTCCCATGTGCACTTTCAGATTACCACGCGTTGTAAATGCTCGACTACACACTTCACATTTAAACGGCTTGTCACCTGCAGAATATCGTTTTTCTTATTTGAAAACTGAAATAATCTAGTTAAATCATAAATGAATAAATGAAATGGAAATCATTAATACTAAATACTTAATAATTCAAAATTAAAAGAATTTTTTTACCGTTGCTAAATTCTTTTTTTTACGATCAGCCATTAAAACTTTAAAGATTTATTATATTTTCCTTTTTCTTTTAACAGCATTAATTATTTCTGATTTGATTAATTCCACTGACGATTTTTCACCAGAAAGTCAAATGGAAATGAAATTACGTTTGGATCATCGACCATCCTACTATTATTTATATTATATAATAGATTATTATTTGAGTTATGAAAAAATCACCAGTATGAGTTCGCATATGTATCTGTAAGGCTGAACTGCTACTAAAATGTTTGAAGCATACTCCACATTGATGTTTGGATAAAATAGGCGCTTGTCGAGGAGGTGGCGGCTCTGTTTCTGCCCACATCTTTTGCATGGCATCAAGCGGGTTTTCAGTGTTATTGGACGAAGTCCTCTCGTTACTTTTTTCTTGTGAATCTTCAGCACTCCTTTCTTCATTCTCTTGCGCTTGATTATAGCTAAATTTATTATCATTACGATATTGATATGGAAAATAAAAGAGAATATAATAATTTTAATTTTTGATGGAAAGTTTCATATTTTTTGAATTAGCGATGGTTATTGTTGTTATTATACCAGCAGTGATAATTATAATTATAAATAACAATAATTACAATTGCGAAAGTGATAAAAAATGATTAATTGCATAAATATTAAAAATAAATAATGTATATAAATAAATATATAAATAAATAATAAATAAATAATTATAACAAATCCTATATATAATAATAGTAAGTAATATTATTATTATAAGTAATAAAAATGAATAGCGATAAATAATAATAGCAATAATAATAATTATTACTATCACAACAATACTAAACAATAAAAATATGAACAACAACAAAAAATAATAAACAATAATAAATTATGATAGTGGTAAATAATAAATAATAATGGTGATATTAATAATAATAACTGTTAATCACCAATTGTTTTATGCAAGAATTATTCTAATATGAGAATATGAAAGGAAAAACTAACTTGTCATTTTCTTCTAGTGTTAATGAAGAACTTTCCACAGCAGCTTCGTTCGATAAACTTAAATCAAAATTTTTTTGTTTGATATTATTTTTCGATGGCATGTCACGTTTTATTACCTTGAATATTCCATGGTTTGCATGCGACCTGAAATTTGTTCTCGAACTAAAAAATTGCATGTGTACAAGGCATCTGAACAGTTGCAAAAGCGTTTCTTTCTGAGTTCCTCAAGATTCGCGTTAAATAGCATATAATTTAATGATATAGGAAATTTTTTAACCCAATATGACTATCCAGTGCAGATTCATTTTCCGAACAGATCGTGCATGTCAGCATGGATATATCATTCAACTGCAATTTATTAGTGGATTGTTGTTCACTACTTTCCTCATCCTTTACGCATCCTTCAAAGGTCATATTCAAGGTCGATTGTAGATTAATTGGTACAGATGATGGGTCGTGCACAGATAGAAATGATGGATTTAGCAAGGAATCGATTTTAGAACCTTGTCCTGTAAGATCTTTCTATAGGACCATTCTATGCCATAAAATGTTATTTAACTTATTATAAACATCAAAATAATTGATTGTTAACATAAAAATTTTGTTCGTAAACAGAGGAGATCATGCCTTCAAAATCCGATTCAATATTATTTATGACAGTATCCGATTGGCTGTTAATATCAACACTATTCATGAACGTCGAATCGTATGGTTGATCACGATTGAATGAGTGGACATCAGCTAATGATAAATCAGTTTCTTGTATTGTTGACAATGATATTGATCCTTGTCCAGATGAAAATGGTGGAAACGAGTTTGTGAATATGTTGGCTGAATGTTTCATGCTCGGCGGAAGCGTCGTAGGAAATCGTGGGAGACCGACGGCAAAAAATGGAAATGGACTAGGAAATGCCGGAATTTCAGTGCTTAAAGGTAGTGGCATATTTGCCCCACTATATGGTAAAGTTGAACTTTCGGTGCTGCAAGAATAAATTTTGGTTAAATAAAGTAGCAAAAATCGTAAAATCAATTTTAAAAAACCAATAAATATATCAAATATTTAACAAAATGCAGTGAATCAATTGCCTGGTAGTAGTAGTAGGTGCATTTAATGAAGGCACTGAATGAAGTGGTCGCTGTTCAAACTTGTGTGGCCCCTCAAATGTTGACAAAACCCCATTCCTGAAAATATTAAAAAGTAATCAAACGTATACTGAAATAAAAAAATGTGGATAGTCACCCTCTATATTGAAATGAACCTTTTCTTTCATTTTTATTTTTGCAGATTGACATCTATAGGGTAGCTTATGCGAAATTTTATTCATTTAATCGCTTTTTCCTACTTATTTTTTGATATGATTTTTCTATCAACGTTGAAATTGGATAGTAAAGGCATAATGAATATGAGTTGACACCTGGTTAATTGACTCGTATGCTGAGCGATATGTTGTTGCAATAAATGTGTCGTAAAGAAGCGTTTTTGGCAAATCGGACACTGATGCTGGATGCTTGAGCTTGGAGCTATACCTCGATAGGAATGTTTAGCTCGATGCACTCCCATATGCGTTTTCAAATTACCTTTTGTTGTAAATGCTCGTTGGCAGATTTTGCATTTAAATGGGCGTTCTCCTAAATAAATAAATCAATAAACTAATAATAATTAATATGAATGAGAATAAAAATTAATATAAATATATATATATATATACGTAAATTTTCGGAATTTATAGCTCACATTAACAAGTAATAATTGAAAAATTCTTGCCTGTATGCGTGCGATAATGCATTTGTAATGCACTTTTACATGATAGGACTCTCCGGCACAGTAAGCATTGATTGGGATCTGTGGTCGGTAAAGGTTTATCACCGACCAGTGCTCGAATTTTTTCAGACTCGTCTGTTGTGCTTACTTCCATCAAGGCTTCCCAATCATCATCATTATTCAAAAGTGATGATGATGATGCTGGTGGACCTATCAACACATCGGGGTGTGTTGTTCGCTGCGAACTTAAGCCGAAATTGAATGGTGATCTTATAACTGAAATATTTTGATATTATTTTTATCTAAAATAAAATAAAAGGTCGTTATAATGTCCAATGAAATGGGCATATTGGAGTAAGGCAAGTAAGAAGCGGAAGGCGGAAGATGACCGAATGGTATAGTGCTTCGATCAATTCGATGATGAAATATCATGGATTCGACTCTGATCGACTCTAATTGGAAAAAAAATGTCTTTGGAAATTCGAGTAATGTTGGGAATTCACCACCTGAATTTATAATTCTGTTCGCTCTTTGGTGAAATGATCACATTCTAATAATAAAGAGAGCAAGCTAAATCAAAATTGGTGAATACTATTAGAAGAAAAGGAGAGAATTACTTATACTAAGCCATAGCTAGATTTAGAGGCCTATTTCATATGAGATAAATAATTGAAAAAAATTTCGCCCGTAAAGTTTACGCGCAACTAAAGAAATATTTTAAAAAAATGTTTTTGAAAGTATTTATTAATAATGATATTAATTATATATTCTTCGATTATCGATAATAAATAATTTGAAGTAAAAATTATTATTACCAAAGTTATAATGGGGCCTCATTACCAAATTGGCTTTTATTTCCTAATTAATTTGAAAATCCTTAAAATGAATTGAGAGCCCTTGAGATTCTAATCGCATTTAAAGTGAATACTGGAGATGAAGAAATATCCACTTACAGTGTTGTGGAATAGCCGACATTCGCATGAAATTTGGCGATACACCAGTTGATAAATCGAGAGCACCATCCTTCAATGAAGCAATACCTGACGGTAATGATGCAGATGACAAAAGATGAGAGAAAAGCATTTGTGAAAGTGGTGGATCAGACGACATGTTTAATGGATTGAAGGAATTAAAAAGTGGACTCCTCTGTACGAGATTAAATGCGCCATTAGTACGAGCTGGAACTGATCCCCGATCAGCATCGGGTGATGAACTTCGAAGTAAAATCCCACCTGACAGTGGCCGTGGTGGAATACCACACTGATGTTCATGCACCTAAAATAATTCAGGGATTTATCAAATTTTATAAAATTATAACATAAATGAATTGTTCTGTTAGTTACATTTTTTTATTAGAGGACAAGTCCAAAAAAATACAATAAAATATAAACAATTTTTCTAGAAATCTATCCAAAAATAGTGGAAATAGTATAGAACGAGGTATTTAATTATACTTGGTCAGGGTCAGAAAATCGTTCTTCGCAGGTGGCGCATTGCAAAAGCTTTTCATCTGGATGTCGACGTAAAATATGCCACAGAAGAGCACCTCGTGAAGAGAATCGCTAAATTAAAGTTCAGTTCTTTAAAAAACTCAGGAAAAAAGCAAAGTTAAACACGATTATTCGTAAAAAAGAACTATAAGGACCATCATAAAGATTAAGCCAATTCCAATCTTTCTGCAAAGAGATGATTTAAAATTCCACCATTATCCAAAAAATTTGTTTCATTTTTTTTGATTGAATAAAATCATAGGTAATCCACCATTCTTCTTCTATAATTGAAGTGGTATAACCACTCACCAAGGCGCAACGCTCTGCAGCACATATATAAACTTTTTCAGCAATATCATTACTAGACGGAGGTGATAAAATATAAGAATGATTTGCACCGTCTTCACTGCTTTGCTCTGAATCTGTATTGTTATTGTTGTTTTGAGATGCAGCTAACTGAGCATAGAGTTCGAGAAGTTGCTGCAAATATTTAGATTTTAATTTTGCCGCTTTTCACCTCTAAGTAACATTTATGCAGCTTACAAATTTATAGTTCAATTTAAGAGTTCTGAAACCTCAACTGTAAGAAGCACATAAGTTAAAGCTAAATTTTATGCGTTCAACAATCTAAATAAGACAAAATCTAATTCCTGCGAAATCGATAATGAAATACAATCTTTGTATCCCACTGAAAAACGAGCATTTTAATAAATTGGACATTAGAACATTATTTCCTGCATAAGGATGTGGTGAATCACCATGTCGGAATAAAATGATTGTAATCAATGTAGCAAAGTGACTTGAGAAGAAAATTTGGTGGAGTGGTTCTTGTACTGCTTAAATTATCATTTCAATTATGATGATCGTACCCTTACACCGAGCAGGAGTGCAATCAAAAAATTCGACTAGCACTGAAGATTCATCTTGTTTGCTTGTCTTGTCTCATCCTAATAGCCAGTAGAGGAAGAAATATTGAATGCCAATGGTGAAAACAGTATTAATTGGCGAATGTTAAAATTGCTGGTTGATCTCGCCCCGCTGGCTTTTCGCGCTGCAAATATGCCAGATAATCCTTTGGCGATAGAAGTACAAATGAGTCGCCAACATCATCCGGAACTTTATTGAAATAAATAGAAAAATGCAATAAGAATCCAGGTTATAGACATATTAAATATACTGCCATTATTTTTAATTATATTCCCCCAAGTATTTTCTTTCCAGTTATTATCAAATAGTTATTATTAAATAATTAATTAATTACTATAAATCCTAAGCAATAAGTTCAGTGGTTGTTTGCTCAGGTCATCATGGTAATGAGAATACACATGGTTTGGCTTCTACCTATCAATCTATGAGAGTGAACTGGCCATTAAAAAATTCAAGTGGCACCGGGCACTCACCGATACTTATAATTTTTCGCCAAGGAAATTTCTGGCGATATTTTTTGTCTAATTGTACTGATTACATGAACTGAAAACCGGCGTTAACCAAAAAATGAATCCTAACAAAATCGCTTAATGTAAAAAAAAGCAAATAGCAAAAAACCATAGCCCAACAGAAAGCAGAAAAGTATAATGGTTTTTGCCATTTTTTATTAAAAAATCTGGAATGTGGTGGAAAATTTTCGCGATTTTCGCAATGATTTTCGTAAAGTAAATATTTGAGACAATTTGAAATCTCTCCAAAATTTTCAAATTTTTTCGATCAAAATTTTCATTGCACTAAAGAAAATTTCTAATTTAATTTTCTTTCTAACACTCAGTGATGAATAACGCAAGTGTGTTTCAAATTCATTCTTTTCTATCTCGCGAAAAAACTAAGTCTTCTAATAACTCTCATCATTATTAGCTGGGGTGGCTCCTCTCGTTGCAAAGTTAAGGTGCTTCTTAATCCAATGTTATGTTCGAGATTGAAAGAAGCGACTCTTTTTCCATCGTCCAAGTGTATACATCGTTAGATCGCTTATACATCCAAAATCTCTTCTGGCTATCAAACTAGGTCTTGACTTTCTGCTTTTAACGCTAATCGCTTACAACTCGCATACAACTTAACAAGTAGAGATAGCTAATTTCTACGATGGGTGGCGAAAGTTCTCAAATTATTATGTAATGCTTATTTTCTTTCGTACTGCATATAACATGTCTAACTGGGCATTTAGATGTAAGAGAGTGGAATGGAGAAGTGGAATACAAATGTGGCACCAGTGGCGGCCTGAACTCCAATGAAAAACTATATTCCTAACAGAAAGTAGGAATTGATCATGATCATGATCATGTTTATTGATTCTTAAAACATGAAAGAACTAAAATTATCGACCAAAAATTAAAATAACTAAAATAAAATAACTAAAATTAAAATAATTAAAATAACTTATTATGAGAAACTTGAAGTAAATATTTATTAGCTAACTTGTTGTTGATGCTGCAATGTTCGAAGTGGATCGAGTACAGTGTTTGATTTATCTTCATGAATATCTCTTCTATGTAAATCATCCAAAATTGTACGACGTGACAAATCTATAGGTATTGATTCGGAATCCGAACATGGGGGTGTTATTGAATTCTGCAAATATCCTCATAGATATTTTCTTTAAATTTTTTTTAGATTTGACCCTTTTTTTATAAATAAAAATTAATTATAGTTCATTAACTCAATTAAATATTAATATGAATTAGCAGCGAAAAAAGGTTTTCTTTTCTACTTTGTGTTAAAAATGTAAAATTAGACGTTTAAAATTAAATTAGACGTTTTTTTTTTATAGCAAACAGCATCGTACCTGTTTTTGTGTTGTGCAATTATTCTTATGCTCAACAAATTTATTAACATCAGCGAATCTAGCTGCACAAATTCCACATACATGGCAATCGAGTGATCGGTCAGCTAAAATTTAAATAAATAAAACTTCTAAATTACTTCTAAATTTAATGAAAAACAAGTATATTCAAAGCATTCACTAGGATTTCTCAACGACAATGCTTCGATTATCGCTAATTAGTGAGATTAAATCATATCAATGGAATTTTTTCTGTCTGCCTAAATTTTGCTTCTTATAAAGCGTTCAAATATTTTCCATATGCAACATTGTTAATATTTAAAATAATAAAAAATCATTAAATTAAGAAAAGTAGTGTTAGAGCAGTAAAAGTAGTGTTAGTGTTACTTTTTAATTAAAGTACTTTCTCTGGTCCTCTTAGTATGGTTAAAAATCTTTGCCAGGGAGCCATATGGTCAGAACTATAGGTAGATTATCATAAATTAAACCATAAAATTCATTTAAACCATTAGGTTCTAGTTACTTTCTAGTTATTTTTTCATTATTACTGATATTATTGCCATTATTTTTGCTGGTTTTTAATTACTATTAGCATTGTCAATGGTGCATTGGTGACTCATACCGAGATTCGAGGCTTGGGTTCGAATCCGTCGACGCATCATTCTTCGTCAAGCAGCCGTGTCGTCTAACAGAGAAATGAAGAAATAATATATAAGAAATAGGAAACAAAGTGGCTCAGTAGGTTGCTGTTTAGTTAGAGTATCAATGCCGAGGTTCTACTCCCCTCTACAGGAGTAAATCTGTCTCCAAAAACCCCAGTGGTAGGGGGGGGGGGGGGTTCATTTATAATTCTATTGCCAAGGGACTCTCTAGCATATCTGTCAGCCGACAAGCCAGCGAAGCGTGTTTAATCAGCAATGGTGTTAAAAAGTTATTATCCTATTATTATTAGGTTTTGATCGATAAATATTCATTAAAATTTTATAACACTAAAATCCATTGTATGAATATTGTTGCTAATTGAGCAAGAAACTTAGGGTAATTCAAAGGAATGGAACTCATGATTCCAATTTTTCGTATAAATATTATTTTGTATATATGAACAAAAAAATTGTTAACCGCAAAATTTGTAAAATATGTGAAATTATTTTGTTTAAGAAGGAAGGCAAAAAAATTGCAATTTGCCAAAACCTGTTTAGCAAATTATTTAACTCTTTATTGTAATGATAAAAAGCAGGTATTGAGGCGAAAAAGCTAAAATAAAAATAAACTAAATAAATAAAAAATACTCACAAAGCTTTGATGACAATTTAACAACTTTCACGAATTTTCATAATTTTCATTAAATTCATTAAAAAATTTTGCGCAAGTTTACCAGTTAATTAATAACCATCTATAAGTAATTTGAATGAATGAAGCTCAAAGGTAAAAGTTTCAAATCAGTCACAAGAGATTTCTGAAATCCTAATCGCTGGTATTTTCGCATAATATCCTGAGATTTGTTAAAATTTCCAAAGAATCCTTTTCAAAGAATTATTTATTAGGTTAAAAAAAATATGAAATAGATTGAATATCTAGTAATTTAATTTAATGTGATTGTTATGAATTGTCTTTTTTTTATTTCATCTTTCGTTCGTAAATGATTACCGTATTACAAGAACGATAAATTTTCACATAAAATTTAGCAAAAAAGGTGAATGGCAACAGTGATTGTTGCGGTGCAGGAATTTGAACTCATAAAAGTTTATCTAGAAGAAGATGAAAGATAAGAATGAGGAAAAGAGGTAAGTGAAAAAGCAATAAAAGGGGACATTTAATGTTTATTTATAAAATAGTTTGTTCATTGGTCTTTTCTTCCTTTTCATTATATTCTTAATAATTTTACGTTCATCATCATCAAAAATCTTACTTTTCTAAATTCTTTCATGGAAGGAGCCAAATAAAAATAAATGTAAAAAATAGAATTTAGCATTCAGAAATAAAAAATAGATTCCAAAAATTAATCGCAGAAATTAGTGGGTTTAAAAAAATTCTATAATTTTTTACGAGAGTAAGATAACCAGGTTCCTTGCAGAAGTAAAGTAAAGTTGGGACTAAGGAAATGTCAAAAAATCCAGATAATACCTCTACTTCTACAGTCAGCTGACTCTCTGGCAAGAATTTCTAATGCAGAAAACCAGAAATTATGAGCAGTAACCATTTAATTATTTTTTACTAATTGTTTATATTTTAAAAAATGCGTTCAGCAAAACTCCAAAAAACTTTTTTTCCATAATTGGCAAGCAGTATTGCTTAGATTATAATTTCAACGATTATGGATTCGATCTTACCTCTAATTTATCATTAATCACAGTGTTAATTTTATTTTATTAAATATTTAAGGATTGAAATAATTAAGAATATTTTTTCGTTTGAACCAATAAATATATTGAAATGTATTATTGTTGTAATACATAAATTGATGAATCGCATCTGAGAAATATAAAAATGCTATAATTTGTATGATTAATAGCTCACTCCATTCGTATAAGACGTTGAATATTTTAGATGTAACAAAATAGATCGCTCCAAAAAAAATAGAATTAAAAAATTGCATTTCGTCTTTTTGCCTTTTTTCAGTATAATTTTCGCGAACCGCCAATTAATAATTTTTTGCAAATTATCGAAAAAAATTTATCAAATTTTTTTGTCAAAATCAAAATTTGTGTTTAATGTTTATTCATCTTGCTAAATTATCAAAGAAATGAGATGAAATAATTTTTTAATTATATATAATCATCATACTGTATTTTTATGATGTTGCTAATTAAAAAACGATTTATAGGTTACTATAACAGATGATTTGTTCATCTCCTTTAAATGAAAAGATATATTGATGCCAATCCAGACGCGCTTTGCTGCTTCACTGGAGAATGCAGGATTTACTCGAGAAGATAAACTAAGCAAGTAGTCACCCACTCCACAGAAAGCTTTACGAATACCAGCTTCTGATTTGCAGAATATTTTAATATATTCTATTCGGATAAAGTGAATTATATATTTCAAGAAAGAAATTGATTGAAAAATTAGTTAAAAATAGTGAAAAATAGTCATCTGCTATATAGAAATATAGAAATGAATAAGATTAAACAAAAATTGGATCGCTTTTAAAGTATTTCACTTTGTTCGCCTAGATAAATTATTGTATTCCTTCCATATAAATAAGAAATTTTAGAGAAACAAAATTATTTTCGTAAAAGTCAAATGGACGGATTGCCTTTTTGAGTGTCGAGTACACGTTGTTAACATATGGTAGCATTTACATATGCATTTGGTTTGCAATTGCTTTCATTTCCGGAAAAAAATATTTCTTTTTTTTGAATATTCCAGTTTCGCCTTGATTAAAAATTTATATACACTTAAGGCGAATCACAAAGATGATTACGATGATTTAATTAGTTAAAAATGATGATGACGGCATATAAAAGAAAACTGGAATCTTTTACGAATTGGATTTATAAAAATTCTCTAATTATTAATATTTATTGAAGTTTTATGGTTATTTTTTCAATTTCCAGTGATATTTAATGAAGATATAGGATTTAAAAAAATTTCAAATAGTTTTCAAATAAATTTTTGCTAATCGTATTCACTTCACCACAAAAAAAGCGACAAAAGTGACATTATAAAGTTTACGCTTTTAGAAAATTTGAGAAAATGAAAAAAAATTCCTTACAAAAAATCTTAGCAGATTTTTGCCCTTTTTCTGCATATTTCCATAATTGGATACAACAAAGATTCATCCTAAGCTTAATGAAAGCATTTTCTTTGAATTTATAAGAATTTCAAGAAAAGGAATGCCGGCATTTTAGTTATTTTAACTAGTGTTAAACTTTGGAGCAAATAATTCCTCATAAAATTCTAAAAAGAAAAATTTTTTGTAAAACTCTTTTATCGAATTTGTTTTAAGGACTGTAATTATTATAAAGGAATAGATTAAAAAACAACTATTACCAAACAATTTTTTACAACAAATATTTCTTGTGGGAGATTTGCAAAATGATTGCAGTGATGGTTTTTAATGGTTTTTATTTATAGTATTCATCATTAATCCGTTTTTTAACGATGAAACCACAAATAATTTGATTAAAATGGTTTCATTACGATTAGAAAGCAAAAAAATTGCGTCGTTGAATTTTAATGAACAACAAGTAACTGATTGATTAGCATTTATAGCGACAATTATTTTAATAGTTTGAATAAATAAATATTCTAAAGTCGGTTTTTTTGCGTAACAAAAAAAATTTAATTCTTCTTTTCTCATTATTTATCAAATTAAATTGAATAAAATAAATAACGAAATTAATGGAGCTTCTGAGTCAAATATTATTTTATATTATATAAAAATATTATATTATATAAAAATTATTATTATTTATAAGAAAGAAAGTGGCTAGCATTCACAATTTCTGGTTAGACTCTCTCTCGCTGTTAATGCGATGAGACTTTTTGCTAAGAAATTATCGAGGATTAGAAGAGTACATGGATCTTTACATCTCAGATTTTTTATTGCTGTTATGGGTACGACTTAAATCCTGATGCTCAAGGCAGTAATCAAAGCGGCAAGCATTTGGTCATTTAAATAAATACGGTAATGAAAAGAAAGATGATTTTGAATAAATTTTATTATTTATAGCCATCAATTTATTTACGTCTTTTTGGCATCATTTATTTGATGGTCAAAGAATTGTTAGGATTTTAGAAATTTTAGAATTTGAAATTACTTTTTCAGATATATCAGATAATCATGTAATCATTGAAATGTATAGCAATGAAAGTCTTTAGTGCAGCAACATTTTCATCCAAAAATCCTTAAAATTTCTGATTCTATGAAATTTCCGAAAATTTTCCAATTGGCTGAAAATTCTTCATTATCAAATTCACTAGATTTTTTTCTTTTTCTTATTTCACCTTCTATTTTCTATCATTTTGCATTAATGTAGTTGCCAGATTTTGAATAAAAATTTGACAAAAAAATGAATTTAATAATTTTCCTATCATTTATTTGAGAAATTTTTTCTGAATTTTTTGCAATATTCACTTTAGAGATAATTAATTTATAAAATTTAGAGATAATTAAAGAGATTTCTCATTTTGTACTACGATTCATTATTCATTCCATTTCAACGAATTCCATTATTCATTTTTTATTTTATTGCTGATAGAAAAATATTAATTTATTCTTGGCATATATTTCGAGTATGGAAAGTGCAATAACTAGGACCAATCAAAACTTTTAGGCAATTATATTTCTATCGTAATCGTCTGTTTGCTTTTCATATAGCATTAACACGATAAGAATCGATCCACCGTAGTCAATTATTAATATATATTCATTTGAATATTGCTATCTATTAATACTGGATATATATATATATATACAATTAAAAATGAAAAAGTAAGTGGTTGACGCTTACAACTAGTAGGATAAGACAGATTTACCAGAAATCATAGGCTGGATGAATTCTTAAATGAATAAATGAATTCTTAGTACTGTAAACATTTTTTATAGCACTTTTGCTCTTACCAGTGGCAGAGACCGAATTAAGATGTTAGAAATAATAATCTAAACAATATGAATTTAGCCATACCGCTTTATATATAGATATAAATACATACATATATATATATATATATATACTCTTTATATATACACTTACCTATAAATATCAGTTCTATTATTATTGCATTATTATTCATTTAATAAAAGAGTCCTGTATAAATGGTACGTTGCATTAAAAAAAAAAAACCTCAAACTATGCTTTGCTGATAAATTTTCAATATATATCAATAAATAATGTGAACAGAATTTTTATGTATGAACTGATTGAATTTTATTGAACAAAGTTAGACAATTGAATTTTGATGAAAGCAGAAAGATGTTTTAATTTCGCGGAAAGAAATAAGAAGGCAAATAAATTCATTGACAGATTGCTTAATTTGTCCCAATTTGCTAAGCATTTCTCGCTGAACCTCCCCAAAATTTATTTTAGATAAATAATTTCATATCAAAAATAATCGCAAAGTGAATTGTTGAATACCTATCTATGAATTAAAAGTTAAATCAGTGCTGACCCATCTGTATTTTATTCAGACGATTTTTTGAAAAACATCTTCAGTTGAGGTAGCTAAATGAATTAAAAGAAAAATAAAGAATAGCTATTCTTTTAATAACAGTTGATAGCACATTTAAGGCAAAATTAAGTGGTTAATGTTTCACCACTTCTGGTTAGGCTAGCTCTGCTGGCTGCTATTAATATAGTTAGAAAATTTTACCAGAGAATAATAGAAGTAC